GCCAAGGACTGCTCCAAGTTAGTTGCTGATCTGCTGTGTAAAAAGCTTTCTCACATATATGAAATAAGAATGTCATGCCAGAAAAAATCCCAAATTCGCGACTACAGATATGAAAATGCTAAAAGGAGAAGTTAAAAAAGGAAATTTTTTAACATCTCATGCACAGCTATACATTGTTTTAAGCGGAGAGCATAACTGGTTGTAATCTCATGACCGTGGAGGAGCACGGGGGGGGGGGGGGGGGGGCTTAATAATAATGTTTTGTTTGTGTCCCCTCAATAATAACGTCCTAGAGGAAATTAGATGCAACCACGCATCTATATAAATAACACTAACAAGTGTTTCCATTTATCTAAAATATCATTTTTCAAATTCTATTTTAAAGGTACTTAGACACAGATATGAAGTTATTATTTTCTCTATATTATTATGACTTATATATTTTAATAGCATTTCACACAAAAATTAATTAAAAATCTTATTTCATTTAAAAGATATTAAAATTTCAAATTTTTTGGCAGGTTTGATTGACACATCCTTACTAGTAGTTCATTGAATTTTCTCTCCCCAAACACATTCTCTCTTTCCATAAGAAATTTTGTATATGCAGTCGCAATATTTAGTTTCTTCCTAAGTCATCGATTTACCTTTCCTAAAGTTACGACATAACTTAGGAATATCTTAAGATAAGACAAGGTTAGTGAAACAGATAAGTAATGACATAGGAAAAAGTTCCTTCCTAAGATATAACTTAGTCCTAAGTAGGCTTTGTGAAACAGGCCCCTGGCATTTTCATCATGATTTCAAAAGCATGCACACAGTGCCTGAACAATTATAGTAGAAATACAGTGGGGATTGTAAATTTAGGTTTGCACCAATCCAATATGGGAATTTTGTTTATTATACCCCCCGCTTGAAAATAGTATAGTAAATCGGTATTTCAGTCCCATCCGTCTGTTACGCTTTGGGGTACCCATCTCTTATCCTTTTTAACTCCTCTCATACCACTGAAGGAAATTTAGTGAAACTTTCTCAGAATCTTTATTACATATTGCCATTGTGCACCTCCTATTTTACTTTTTGATCTGACACATATTTTGGATTTTCCAGAGGAAAACATGGACACAGCCATTTTATTCATATGGGGGGGGGGTATCATTTAGTGAGCTCATTGCTCACAGTACCTCTAGTTTTTTAGCAGTTTTTATTCATTTCTTTCTCAGTATTATGAAACCTAGCTAAAATATTTAAATTCTAAAACATAATCTTATCTGAGGTTGATTGAATATCTTAATAAAAAAATAATTTTCCTATATTTCTCTCTATGTTTTGTTTGGCTATATTTATAAGTTCTTGTTTCCTGTCGCAAAGAAAAAAGTGGAGAAGGAGACATGGAGTCACTGATATAAATATCTAATATTGTATAAATAAAGTTCTAACAATATAAACCCATCAAATCCCACCAAAATTTAATTAAGTGTTCATAGTCTTAAAAAAATTGGATATTTTTTCCACTTTTTTTGTGTTATTAATAACTTAAATTTAATTCTTATGTTTGTAAACTATCATTATTGGTGGACATATAATTATGTACAATACTGATATGCGTATCACATGAACATCGCTCGCTCTTGTTTTTTTTTTTGTTTTTTTTAACATGTTCTGACTTGAGGAAGAATGCCACACCATTTTATATGAATATATTTTTTTGTAAAACTTAATTGTAATAAAATGTTACTTACATGCCATAGGTGCTTGATGTTTTAAACTTATTAATTTTTATACAAATATTCCAGTTACTTTGTATAATACATAGTGGATTTTTTATTTATGAAAAATAGGCTTAAAACAAAGTGCCAGTGTTACATGCTGTAGTAAGGAAGGGGGTCACATACTTTATAAATTTAACAAATGAATCAATATATTTTTTTCTATTTTCTTATTCAAAACCTTTATTCCAAGGGGGGGGGATTGTGAAAAATATGTACATGCAATGTAGACCAAAATCTGGTTCAAAGTAATTGTGAACCCTATCTCCTCCAAACAAGTTTACCTCATTGCAAATTGAAAGACCCCTTCTACTTTTCACACCTTTCCTGGACATGACAAAAGAACTGTATATTTCTTGTATATTCTATGCGAATTGGAAGGTTTTACAGTTTGACACCTGGCCAGGAGAACAATAAACATGTGACTTCATAGGTATGTGTATACCAGGTGGATTATCACCTGATCTTCCTCAGATTCTACCTTAGATCTGATTTATACAGTACACATACAACAGCATTTCAGTTGACCCCCACCCCTCCACAACATATTTCATTAATTTTCTTTTTTGCACAACTGCCTCTATATGTCATCATTTGCTTTAAATATAAAATTAGCTCATATCCTAAAGTAATCCCCAAAAAGTAGATGAACTTTATTTATAAAAGTAATCTTATTTGTTAACTTTAATTTTTTCTTTTTAATTAAATTAATATTTATTGTCAAAATTTCTGTTTACCAAAAATTATGCAGTATTTATTATGATCACATGATATACATGTAATCATGATCTAAGACTACTTGTATAAAAATAATTAACAAATCAGAGGCAGCAGCTAGGCCAGAGGCATATGCCTTTAAATTCAAAATACTTGTAAATTTCTCTTCTTTCCTTCTATTTTCTACTTAATAATCATATTCTCTTCTTTTTATGATACCTATGTAAATTGGCAGAAGAATAAAATGCATGCCATATATAAAAACTAACACCTAAGTTCACCTGCTCGTTACATATAGCTGCAAGACTGCAGCTCTAATAAGAAAAATTGGGATGGAAAACCTAGAGCTACAGTGCCATCTATTGAAAAAAAAAAAACGTTTACAAGTCTGTTATTTCTCTATTTCTTTCTCTGTTTACATGCATTTAAACTAGCTGCCACCTAAAAATTTCACTGGCTTTTCCTAGCATACTTGATTTTGCAACTTTATAATTCCACTGCAAAACATTTCCCAAACCCAATGTTTACATACCTTCTGAGCCTTAAATTTAGATTATCAAAATTTTCACAGATTTATATGCATGTTTTACCAGGGTTCATGTATACATATACTGCCATATTTTAGAGCTACATTGAAAGAACATATAAATGTCCTATGCCAAACCTGATCTAGAATTTAGTTTAATTTAAGAAAAAAAAGAAAAGAAAAATAATTTCCTCTAATCCAAAGTACTCGATCAATTCAGGAGACTTAAAAAAAAATCAGGTCGGTGGATCCGTAAACCAAGAAATAAAAAAAATGTCACCTTATATATGATCAATCAGAAATTTTGAATCAAGTCAAAAAGTTTTATCAAGATTTATATTCTAATACAGATTATAAACTGATTGATATTGATTTAGAAGAAATTATTAACTCAACTGAAATTCAAAAATTAGATAAAATCACTTCCTTGATTAAGAAAAAGATATTGAAGAAAATGAAGTTTTACAAGTTTTAAAAAATATGAAGAATGATAAATCTCCTGGAAATGATATGGTAAAGCTTAATTTACAACTGAATTTTTTTAAATTTTTCTGGAGTGATCTTTAAGTCTACATACATTATGCGAGCTACAAATTGTATATTGTCAAAAAAAAAGAAATTCCTATTTCACAAAGACTATAGGGATAATTTCATGTATACCCAATGGGAATAAACCCAAACAATTTTTGAACAATTGGAGACCATAACTCTACTAAATTACAGAATAAAATATACTCTGGATCTTTTGATTTCAGACACTCACACTGAATTCCTAAAAGGAAGATATTTGGGTGAAAACACCAGATTTATTTATGATTTAATGGCATACACAGAAGCTAAAAATATACAAGGATTGTTGGTTTTAATCGATTTTGAAAAAGCTTTTGATTCAATTTCATTGTTCATGGTCTTTTATTTATAAAGTATTGAACTATGTTAATTTAGGAAATAATATAATAAATTAATTGGATAAAAATTCTTAATACAAATTTTAAAGCATCTGAGTTTTGCAATGCAGATTTTTATCAGATAAGTGACATATATTATATTCATGGTGATGGTAAAAATCTCAAATCTACCAGCCCATATGATACTTGATAGCAGGGACCTAGCTACCCATGGTATATACTTTTGTTAAAAAAAGGTATTAAATGATCTGTTCAAAGTACTAGTACTATTTACAAATATATTAATAAAGTTTAGCTAAACTTGTTTAGAAATTACTAGTATATAACTTTAATTTACTAATCAAAATTGAATTGGATAAGATAAATACAGTGTATATGGTAATTTAAATTAGTCTGGCCTGAAATGGAAGTAAATGATCACCCAATCCTACATGATCACAATGATTTGATCAGTTTGTGTATAGTACACACCATCAGGTACTGTTAGTAGAGTTTGTGTTTGTCAGACAGAGTGGGGGTACAGGTAAATCATTTGCGATAGGTATACAGTATCAGGTGTGTCATGCAATGCTCAAGTCTGGAATATAATTATCAGTGTAGCTAATTATAACTTCAAGAATCCGGACTATTATAATCATAATTAAAGGTAAGAAGCTGACTTATACCCTCTTAAATACTTACATGAGTGTGGTTGTTTTTTGTAATGTAGACCTTTGAAGCCATTAGGTCATGATCATGCTAATATGAATCGAACACTTTAAGTTATGAAAATGTCAATTGTTGTGATTTTGTAGGTATATAGTTTCCTCCGTACCCTGTTTAAATTCTAAAATCAAATAGTTTTAGGATAAAAGTAGAAAAGGTGTTATTACTGTTAATTATGTTAATAAGTAACCACTGTACCCATTGTAACCCGGCTACATTGACAGTCCTTCAAAAATTTTCTACTTTCATTTTCCAATGGTTTTGTACTGTACCCTAATTGTAACCTTATTGGTAAAGGATAAATAGAAGTGTACCCTAGGGTACAAAAGTATCACCTAAAAACACAGTACCAATTTCTTGCCATATATGTAACTGTCTCTGGATTCCAAACGATTACGGTTTATAAATCACGAAAACATACAAAATCTGTATTAAAATTGTTCACACATCTCACATATTTCTGTACACGCAATGTGCAGTCACAATTAGAATTTAAGACCGTGGAAAACGGGCAATAAAATATTAGACTTCTGTTTACAATCCACTCTGCCACTGAATCTAGTTTATAAATAACAGCCAATCAGAATCGTTGAACAAATTAAATGTAAATATCAGAACCGAACCTGGTAGATGTTAAAGTTACGGTATTCTTTTCAACATAAACCTAGCTTATTCTCATAAGCCTTAATTAAAATGCTTTTACACAGGAATTCCACAATAATTCTTAATGCCCTCACTTTCAAGATGGTTTATTTGTACATGACTGTATAGTATTACACATATGATTTACAAAGCATATTACCTGGTACTATACCATTTACATGTAGATCTTAGTGCAATGGACCAACACACTTTCTTGTTTGAAAAAAAAACCTAGTTATCCTGACTTTCAATACGTACAAGGTACATGTACATTTCATTAAATCCACTTTTGTCTATTTTCAGACCCTTTAAAACTTGAACATTGCACATCAGTAATTTTATTCTCATGATTATCGATCATATATCATTTAAGGTTAAGCATGTAACAATCAATTACAATGATTATGTGCATCTCATTTTGTTGTTTTGTCCAATAAAACTTAAGACTTAAACAGTAAGTAACACACTCATTGTTTTCCTTTCTGCTGCAGCCACTTTGTACAGATGTTTTTGACTGCTGTTTGGCCCATTCTCTGTGCGGCTCCGGCAATTCTCTGGACATCGTCCACTCGGTCTGTCTTCACCGCCATCAAGTAAGCGGACCGTAGCTTACCACACAGAATGTAGGCATTGATCTAAATACAATAATGATTTCACTGAAGAAATATTTTTAAATATAATATTTGTACATGCACATTTTTTTTTATGGTAAGAAACAACTGTGTGTTTTATTATATAACAATAAAATTTACAGATACAAGTACCCCGTTATATCTAAGACACGTAAAAGTGAAACATCGAGCATGTTAAAAAAAAAATGCTAAAATACAATCTGTTCCACTACTATAAATCTGCTACATTACTGAACAAGAACATAAAATGATCTTACTTTATTAGAATCCTTTTTCAGCAACTTGATCAGATTTTCAGCTTCTTTTGCCTGCAAAAAGTAATGTATTGTTAACTTCTTGTCTCATTTTTTAAAATAATAGTTACTAACACTGAATCATATTATATTCACTCAGAACTGAATTTTATCCAAAACACTTGAGGAGCATAACTTAGAAACATCAAATATAGGCCATAGGAAGGGGGGACCAAATATTCAGAAGAAAAACAAGAGGCCCATGGGCCACATCGCTCACCTGAGCACTGTGGCTATGAAAAAGTAAGAATTTTCATATACATTTCTATGTAAAACTTTGGTTGGGCATTGTGGCCCCGCCCTAACCCCGGGGGTCATGATTTGAACAAACTTGAATCTACACTACCTGAGGATGCTTCCATATAAGTATGATCAATTATGGCTTTGTTATTCTTGAGAAGATTTTTAAAGAATTTTCTTACATATTTCAATGTAAATTTTTGGTCGGCCATTGTGGCCCCGCCCTACCCCTGGGGGTCATGATTTGATCTAACTTGAATCTACACTACCTGAGGATGCTTCCATATAAATATTATCAATTATGGCTTTGTTATTCTTGAGAAGAAGATTTTTAAAGAATTTTCCTATATATTTCTATGTAAAACTTTAGTCGGCCATTGTGGCCCCGCCCTACCCCCGGGGGTCATGATTTGAACAAACTTGAATCTACACTACCTGAGGATGCTTCCATATAAATATTATCAATTATGGCTTTGTTATTCTTGAGAAGAAGATTTTTAAAGAATTTTCCTATATATTTCTATGTAAAACTTTGGTCGGCCATTGTGGCCCCGCCCTACCCGGGGGGTCATGATTTGAACAAACTTGAATCTGCACTACCTGAGGATGCTTCCATATGAGTATGATCAATTATGGCTTTGTTATTCTTAAGAAGAAGATTTTTAAAGAATTGTCCTATATATTTCTATGTAAAACTTTGGTCAGCCATTGTGGCCTTGCCCTATCCCCAGGGGTCATGATTTGAACAAACTTGAATCTACACTACCTGAAGATGTTTCCCCATAAGTTTCATCTTTCCTGGCACAGTGGTTCTTGAGAAGAAGATTTTTAAAAGATACCACCAAATTTTCATTAATTCCTAATTATCTCCCCCTGAATGAGGGCGTGGCCCTTCATTTGAACAAACTTGAATCCCCTTCACCCAAGGATGCTTTGTGGCAAGTTTGGTTGAAATTGGCCCAGCGGTTCTTGAGAAGAAGTCAAAAGTGTGAAAAGTTTACAACGACAACGACGACAACGACAGACAACAGACAGATTGTGATCAGAAAAGCTCACTTGAGCCTTTGGCTCAGGTGAGCTAAAAAGGTTGTCAGACATCATTATTGAGGGGTAAAAGCATAAAGTATCTGTTTTCTATAGAATACTGTAAATCACTTTTTATTTGCGAGAACTTTATTTTTGCGTAATTACGCGAGGCAATGTGCTCGCGAAAATTTGATTCTTGCATATAATAATATTCCTTAATATTATATAGAGCAATAACCACTATTTGCAAAAATTTTGTCTCGCTAATCAAGAGTCAATGACTATCTCGCTAAAATAAGGTGTCGCGAAAATTTAGTGATCTACAGTACTATATATTGGGAAATTATTGGAGGGAGCATGCCCCCCCCCCCCCCCCTGTACTTGATTTGATTCTTACCTCGTTTGGGCTCTTGGAGATGACCAGTATACAGGCTCCCACGATCTCGTCCACTGTGTCCTCATCTCCATACCCGACCCTCGCGATGGCGTCCAGGAGAGACCTGACGTAGGCGTAACGATGAGCCTTGGCCATCTCTCTGGCCACGTGAGTGAAGATTGCTGTCCCACCAAGTTTATACTCCTGTAATAATAATATTCAAAAAAGCATTTACTGGTACTTGTTCTTTTATTATGCTTGACTCAAATACTTGTGCGTTTTAATGATTCAGAAATTCACACAAGATTGGATCAAGGTAAATGAGTATATAGAACATAAAATTATATGATAATCTTATCGCTCCACTACAGCATTAGGTCGTTAGAGTTTTAAGATGTAATTGGGTGTGTATTTTTATACCAAGATGAGTAACATCGTCTCAAGCCACGGTCCGGAGTCTGAAGGTAGCTCTCTCTCCTACCAGTGGCTGCTTGATCACAAAAAATGTTGTAATCTTGAATATTTATGCCTCTCTATTGTGACATCATATTCAGTCAAAGACAAGTTTTGTTTCCATCGCAATTGAAATCAACAATTTACATCAGCAATATACAAGAAATATTTCGTACACTGTGATTGGATATTGAAAGGTCACATCAAAGTTCATTATCCAACTATGCTTTACTCGCATTGGTCAATATTTTAACGAACTACGAGAAATTCTCTTCTCATTCAACCACAGCCAGAATGAGAGAGGATCGTACATTTTGGCCATGGTTTGCGACGAAGGATGAGTAATGGTATATTAAGTACTTACCTTAATGATCTTGTAGGATAATTCAAATGCTGTTGAAATATCATTTCCACTGAGCAGTACCTAAACAACCAAAGATATGTATGTTTAAGTTAAAAATTCAATTTATTATACCTTAACTGATTTTTCCCTATTTGAAATTAGTTAAATGTGAATAATTTCCTAGAAATCACTGTAAATAGACTAATCCCTGTGCATTAGTAAAATGAGCTAATCCCTGCTTTGAAAGCTAATTCCCTGTTATCTGTAATCCTTTGGATTTTTCTTTTAAATATTGTTTTCGGGATCAGTATGGCTTTAACGTATGATAATGGACCCCCAGATCCCAAGTATGAGTTTTTGAGATTCACATTATTGTATATATTTTTTCTATTTGTTTTAAGTGTTTGTATGGATTTGATATGTTAAATATTAAACCAACTGAATCTCGTAAACCTTGTTTTGTTTTGTGTATGAAATTCAATTTATTATTAGCTCTACTGATTTTTCCCTATATGAAATAAGATCGTTAAATGTAAATAATTCCTTAAAAATGACTAATCCCTGTGCGTTAGTCAAATGAGCTAATCCCTGCTTCAGAAGCTAATTCCCTGTTATCCGTAATTTTTTTGATTTTTTTTTTATTATCGGTAGTGTATGATAATGGACTAATCCCCATGTGTTAGTCAAGTGAGCTAATCCCCGATCTGAAAACTAATTCCCAGTTATATGTAATTCTCTTTTTTTTCTAATTTTGTATCTGTATTATAAAACAAATAAAAAGTATATCATTGAGGGAGTTATCAAGATTCCAGTTCCCCTCAACTAGGACTATTTCCAGAAGCGCAGCCGAGGAAAATAGTCTTGGCCTTGAGGAACTGGAATCTTGCTAACTCCCTCAATGATTTACTTTAACTGTATAATAATCTGTCATTGACTTGTAGTTTCATAAAGCATGTACCGGTAAGCTTAAACTTTGGTAGTAAAAATAAAACTCCCCAAAAATATAGTCTTAACATTTTTGATTTGAACATTATAGAAATTAGTGGATAAAAGAGAAACAAACCATGTTGACAAGATCTGTCCTAGTTTTGGTGTTTCCAAACATGGTGGGGAGGTACTGCCTCCCGCTGACTGACATGGGGGGTGGCACTGTGGCCTCGGGGTCAGGGTTGGTCAGGCAGTGGTACAGGTGTTTTGTTACTTCTATCTGGATTGACACAGTCCTTATGTACCTGATGGGAAAAAAGTTTCCTTTTAAATTGATTTCCATGAAGATCCATATATTTTCAGCAATATAGAAAGAGAGATTAAAATATATTTCAAATCTGTAAACCAAAGTACAACTTCTGAGAATGTCACCCAATCTAATTAAATTAGATATGTGCACTTTTCATAAGAAAAGTGTACATACAGCACAGATCTAAAAAGTCTGATTTTAATACAGTGCAATGGGTTTTCTCCTAGATACCAACCAAATGCTGGTAATAGTGATGTCTTATCTATTGCTAGGCCTTTCAACTGCCGCTAGGGGTCTGTTTTATGAACGATAACTCACTGTTGAAACATGTTGAGAGTAGGCTCGGGGTATCTAACTGTTTACACGCAAGGCAGTTTTTAGCATTTCCCAAGTGTTTCTTTGCTCTCAGTAAAATCCAGTGGTTTTAAAATGTAGCACCAATGTTAAACTTATTTACTGTATAGTTGCGGACACCATTTCACTTCATATAATTAAAAGTTTTAATTAAAATAAAAAGTGAAATCTACCCTCCTTCTTAGTTCTAACCTAATTAAATTTTTATACTCGGTCGTTCCCCTTCGTGCTTAGTAACACAAGTAAGATGATCAATTGCTCCATTTACTTGTAAAAATATATATATTTATATAGGAATCGAAAAAGCGCGAAAAAAAAAAACATGGCATGAAATTTTCTTCTTCATAATAATCGTCAAAGAGAGTTAAAAATATTGAATATAGTCTGTTCCCCATCTATTTGACCCTGTTATTTCAGGTAGAGTGAAGGCATTCTCTTTCTCATGGTCAACACTTTTGTGTACAAAACAATGTAAGGAACCCTTTTGTGTACATAACAATACCAATGCTGAAGCAGCCTATATGTCATTCCTATAAACTATAACTCATAAATGGGCACTAAGTTGGTCATTTTTCACACCTGAGTTACCTATCCTTAAAACACAACATCGGAAAAGTCAATTATAAATAATTAAACTTTTTTATGATGTAATTAAATGTATGCATAAGTTATTATCTTTTCTAATAATTTCATGTACCTATAAACCTATCTATGCAATGTTTTTTACCATATGTGCAACTTGAAAAATTAGTTGAAAGGCCTACTATTGCAACTAATTATTTTACATTTACAAACTTTTGGCATGTTCTTCATTACTTTTTTAAAACAACAATACAATCTGCAACAGTATAAAGTCTCCAGGTTTTCCCATTTTCATCAATATTTCAAATAATGACCTTGACACTTCCTCTGGAGATTGGATCAGTCTGACTGGGTCTGAACTTTGACCTGTAGAGCTGAACTTTGACTCCTCTGATATGGTGGGGCGCCTGACACTCCCCCATTCGGAGGGATCCAGATAGGACTGCATGTGTCTGAGGGCCGTATGGAGGTAACTGATCCGTGTGTACAGATCCAGATAACTGTTGGCTCCCTCCTGATAGAAATAGTTAATACAAGTCATGGCTGCTCGAATGTAATCCTGGAAAAAAAAGGGAAAGAAAATTACTGTTTTTTCCCCTGCAATATTATAATCCCAAATGTAATCCCAAATGTAGACAACTTTCTTTCCTAGCTATTTGTCACTTGAAATACATATATACTGTACAAGTAATTGCAGTATCTTTCTTATCAGTATCATTCAGTCATTTTGAATTAATAAAGGCAAAAAACTTTTCCAAAGTCTGTCTTATGAAAGGTAGATTACAGACTTAACATGTACCAGGTACAAAATGCATTAACCATGGTCCACTTACATTTTGCTAAATACTTGTTCCACATAAGGAACCTCAGCAATGACAATATTCCTAATCAGTAATCTGCAGGAGATTTTCTCACCTTCATAAATATCTGGAATTCATAGAGAACATGGTGGAGCCTATTCTTAACAAGATGTCGACAGATGGCTGTCAGGTAGGGATTCCACTTTTCTAGGGAAGGATCCAACATTACCATCTGGTCTGTTAACTTCCCCAGCTCCCCAGAATTCAGCGCAGGAATCAACAGAGATTCAACAAACACTTCTTTGGAACATTTCTGAAATATAGTCACTCATAAAAACAAATTGTTAATGATGTCAAGTTAAACTGATGCAAACTCAGATATTTACATGTATGTGTGAAAATGGGCATGTGAAGAACAGCATCATAAGTATGGACATGCATTTGCAGAGGAACAAGCACATAGAGGTCAATAAGGAATGCTTACTCCTCCATGGCACCTAATCCATTCTCTGAATACTGTGAAATCACAAATTTTCATGGGAGTTTAATATTCGTTGTTTTCGAGGTAAGAAGAGACCCACAAATTTATGTCCACCATGAAATGTAAAATATAACATACATTTCTATACCACAATACATCACCCAAATCAAATCCCAATGAACCAAAATTTTTTCCACAAACCACAAAAATTTGACCCCACGAAAATATGTGATTTTACAGTAATTTAAAATTTTGCTCCTTATTTGTATACAATATCATTTCAAAGGACTTTTGAGCTTGATAACTGTTACCTCCATATTAAATTAGTTCCTTTTCTTTTTTATCAGTGATTGGGTATCCTATCTAGTCTATACACTATGCATGTATATGAGCAGATAATCCATACCTGGTCCAGTATATACTGTACGGCTTTCATCCAGCGTCCGTTTCTGCGGTGGAAGTTGATGATGGTATAGAAGCTGGCGTACGTCTTTAGATAAAAGTGACACTCATGGTATTGTAGGGTGTCTGTATCTCCTTCTTCTGTCATCTGATAATGTACAATTTTGACAAGTCATACATGCATCAACTAGACTAGTGATGCAAATTTAAAAGCATTCCTGTAAATCACTTTTTCTTCACAAGAACTTCATTTTCATGGAGAGCTTCTGCTAACAAAAACTTCATTCTAACATATACCGTATTTCTATATACAAAAATTGCATGCAGCAATAACTAAAATTCATGAAAAAATTTCTATCCCAATTTCAAATGGCTTACTGGGTATTTTAAAAATCAAAGTACTGAAAGTACTGAAAAGCGGTTAGCATGCTTTCATCTAATATGTACCGAAAAAAGTGCATAAAATGATGATATTTAAGTATGCATATCTTTGTCCAATGTCATCAGAGAAAAAAAAACCAGACATTCTGTTTTTGTAATACTTTACTCAATAGTAAAACCAATAACATTCCAAACTGATGTGACAACTAACAACATCCTATTTGGGGTCATGTAAGAGTGAATCTTCGATTAGGCAGAGAAAATGGTTCCTCCGAAATCCTGGCTAATAGTTCAGATGGGTTTCTTCTTTTCACCACCCAACCAAAACACCCGAGGAGTTTTGTAGTAAAAATATATGCATTGCCAAAGTTGTGTTATGTATGACGTGTGGGGTATCTTGTATATTTTGTGCTCTTTCGTTTGCATTATTCACGTTTAGATGCCAAAGATACATGAAATTTATTCCAAAATTACTTTAATTCAACGTAAGACAGTATAAATAATGATGATATGTAGCCGTGGAATTTTTGAGATGTTTACCATAAACTACATGGCCAAAGTGTTTGTGTTTACTTGTACATGTATTCATAATTGAAAGGTCGCTCTGATGTGACCCCGAATGGGATGTTAGATGTTTCAGAAGCGGTAGCGGATTTGGAACATTTAAATAAATTTTAATAAGATTGAAATGCATGTTTCAAAATTTAAACATGAGATTTCTTCAGTTTGAAAGACAGGAAGTGCATTTTTAAAAATTCTCTCTTGATGGCATCCAATTGTTCTCTGGATAAAAAAAATTATGTTGATGTTGAAAATTTCATTGTCTTTTATTCTCTATTGAATCTGAAATTAGGTAATTGTAAAGCCTACTATAACAAACAACTAAAAAAAATGACAAGTTAAATTCTTTAGATTAATGGATTTGGAGTAGTGTAGATCTACAGCTGGCTGAGGAGAGACTTTGTAAATGAAATTATATCAGAGAGATTCAGTTGTGTAGGCTCATCGCGGCAATATACGTAATTAACCTGTCAACGAGGGATGCTTACTTTTTCTAGGCAACGGATCCCACCTCTTGAACTTTCAGGAGTCAGCTTTTCTTCTAAAATCGATCATTGATCATTCTGTATTTTGATACAGCCAAATTCCTTTAGTAATATTATAAACTACTACTTCTACGGGAAGACTGGCATGATTATCAAGCTTTATGAAATATATTTTATTGACTTTTCAAACAAGTAAATGTTCGAATAAAGTAAATGGTATATGAGAATCATTTGAAAGAAGTCTTGCACAATATAAGCCACAATATCTAGATAAGGACATATAAGGTGTTTTTATCATATACTCTTCATGCAATATTGTTCTCAAATAAAACATGAAAAGGAAAGTTGTGTAATCAATCAATACTAGTATTTAAAAATTCAAATGTACATTAAAAATCAGTGTAACTTAAGAAGTTATCAGTGTCACTTTCTTCAATATGTCGGTTAAACAATATACACTAATTTCTTTTCTATCAATGTGCCTCTAAACACCTGTATTTTAATTTTATTCTTCTCAAACGTTTAAAACAATAATCGACAAATTGGACAAATTCAAATTTTAAAAGTATTTTCACAGCTAATAATACGTTCCCTAGGAATTGATCAAATTTTCAAAACTTATAAATAAGCATTAAGTATATATTTTAAATTTTTGCTAATTGCCAAAATTTTTCATACTTCATTTTCATGAAAATAATATATCGGTTGATTTTAAGAATCACAATGCTGATTAAAATAAATATATATTTCTCCATTTTTTTTCAAAATTGATTTTATACTTTAAGTGCTATTATTTTTTACAAAACTAATAGTAAAATCCCTTATGATCGATTGTTAAAATTATCAAATACGGAGTAGAGTATTTATCCCTAGCAGAGCTTTTATAATTTTTATTAGACAGAGAAGAAAAGAGAAGAAAAACAAACGTTTCATAGTGGAGGTAACCCTATTGTTTCCATAAAACGTTACAAAAAGTGTAAAACTTACAGATGCGTTCGGTGTTTTTATAAAAGCGCTTTTCAGGTATTAACTTCATAAATGGTGTTTCTTAATACTTTGGCAAGGAAAATCAAACTCGATCGAGAGATTTGCTGATGTTTTTGCAGTCTGTAATAACCTCCAACCTGCTGTATAATAAACTTTCAAAAATAAACTAACAGTTGCAAAATCGCGATCGCGCGATACACATGTAATAAGGACCAAATTCTCAGTTCTTAAAAGTAAGTGTTGTAAGTATTGTCAATGCTTTGGTAAATATACTAATAAGAATTCGATATAATCGTTATTATAGCCACTCTTCATACACAGCATATACTTCGTTAGTACAAAGTGATATAGTAGGGGCTGGCTTTAGTCAGACTTCACAGGATATTGTCAATCTCTAACCAGGGGGCGTATTAGACAGTATACAAATCATTTGCTGAAGTTACCGTTGTCGATAGGTAGGTCCTTGTGGAAGTTTCCGGTTTTGGTTGCAGAAGGATAAGGTTACGAGCGATAAAGCGATGCCGATAGGTAGCGCCTTATGGAGGTTTCCGGTTGCCGACACATGCCATATAGCGGCTAGCGAAGCTAACCGCTTAAAAATGAGTATTGCAAAAATCTAGTGATCTAAAGTTCATGTAGTACACATACAAGCAGTGTGAATATGCTTCTTGCTTTGCTACAATATTTGTCAAAATGAATGTACTAAAATACATAGGTTCTTTTAAATCTCATGATTATCATATGATACTGTAAAAACAATTTTTATTCGCGACGACTTTATTTTGCGATTTACCTAGGGTAAACTAGTTCGCGACGATTAATTTTTGCGATCAAGCATTTTTGGATCTACACAGAGGCTTTAAGGACCAGTTCACAACGAGAAATATTCGTGATAAGGAGGCTCTCGCGAACCTCGTGAAAATTTCTTGCATGCAAATAAAAGTTGGTTTACAGTAACTCACCATCAGTGGATCTGCTAGCAAGTCTTGCCATGTTCCTCTTTTGGTCTTCATAAGTTGCAACTATAAGTTAAACAGATCAATGATACTTAGAGTGTATGTATTATGACACTGAGATTTTACAATGATAGTACTATTTATATGTTTGGCAGTTCATAGTGGAGTTATTAAATAAAGCAATGTCATTTAACTGGCAAGATCAGAGATGGAAGTATATGTATTTACCAAAAAATTTATCAACTGGTATATGTCGGTGACATGATGAAGATGTCAATATGTTTTATTTACCCATAATGCTAGGAGTCACATTTCTGTTTATACACGTACTGATTTAAACTAAAGATAATATTCTCACATCTAATTACCGCAGTAGAGGTTGTACTCACATGTTTTGTAACAGATGAAGGAGTAGATTCTAGGAAATCAATTACATCTGCCAGGAGTTTTGGTGGATGGATCACTTTATTGCGGTCTGTTAGAGGCTGTAGAAAAAAAGTTGTGAAACTCATTACCCTGTAGATGTACAAAGAAGCACAGCTTCTGTATGACTGAGAAAATGAAAACGTTTTCTTCAGAGATACAAAGAACACTGTATACATTCGAACATTTGTTTGCTGATTTGTGAATATCTACAACTTCTGAGCTGACCTTCAAGCATCGGCTGAATTTTTCCCTGGCGCTGGGAAAGTCCCCGTCCAGCAGGCAGTTCATCCCCCAGGCTGCCCACACCCCCGCGGGGTCAAGGCCACACTTAGTGGATACCTCCACTGCTAGATGGAGCCGCTCCACTTGAATCAATTTGTCTCTCATCCTCCTAAGTAAAGATCAGAATATAGATGAAAATCAGGGTATGCCCATTGGCCACAATGCTCACCTAGTCAACATGGAATAGAGAAGTCTCACTGCTTCTTTTCTCTTAAAAATAGTTTGTTTACTTTCAATAAGAAAGAAATATATAAAGATTACATCAATTTTGAAGGCTAAAGCTATTCTCCATTTCTGTTTCTATGAGCAGTTAAAATTGGGTGTTTGCAGACCTGCATTAACAAATCCATCACACTATAACATGAAGTCTACAGAATAGCTAGCAGGTACCATATGACATATAGACATACTCACGTGACATAGTCTTTCTTGGTGAGCTCTTGGAGGGTAGGGAGGTCAGTATAGTTGTCCCCGACCAGTATCCCTAGTAAGTCTATGTGGCTCTGGTAAGTCTCACACCGCACCAGGCCCTGGGGGTCACCAATGTTGATATACTGCATTTTGGCATGAACTAACAGGGTCTTCATCATACTGAAAGAAATTGTGTTAAAGGTTAAAAAATTGTTGAAATAAAATCATTGAATTTCTTGTAAATTTGTGAAAGGATTTTCACTATGATTTTCATTCACCATATTGTAGATCACCAAATGTTTACCACCTTATTTTTGCAAGAGAGACATCGGTATTTATGAATGAGACATAATTTTCACAAGATCTGGTTATTTCTCTATAATCCACTAAAAGAAAATTTACATGAGAATGAATTTTTCGCAAGTAAACTGCCTTGATTATTTATGCAAAAATTTTAATGATCTCATACACAACAAGTGATTTACAGTAGTTTCAGCTCAAGAGGAGTCTATACACACCTGAGAACCAGACTGTAATCCACCTCTGGGTTGGGGACCCCGGGAGCGATGGGTCTCAGGAACTCGGACAGGTTGTCACACAGGTCCAGCATCAGCTTACCACACTTGTGGGGTTTACTGTGAAGACCCAGTAAAGAAAGACACAGGGAGGTACTGGGGGCCTAGGGAAAGAAAATGACAATATTTACATTTCGATCAAATTTTTACACAATGCATTGTTAAAGGAATTCCTTTATTCACTATTATGAAATTATATATCCAATATTTTACACATACAATGTATATGTATTTGATTTTATTATAAAAAATTGCAGAACTTAAGTACTACATTTAATCAATGAAACTTTATATATATTTATATCAGTATTGATTCGTAAGTACATGTACATGTAATTGTGAGGATTTCATGTATAAGATTTGACCAACCATGACATATTTTACTACCTTATTGTGCTTTTATATTTACCTGTTCATAATAGAAGTCCTCCCGAACCATTTTATTGTGATCTGCATCACCGGGCTTTAGTTTCCATATCAGCTCTGAATGATGCATGGCATCAGTGAGATTGAGTGACTCGGCATGCTCTGGAATTATGGGAAAGTTGGAGCCGAAGGTTCGGGATGTCAGACTGGAGCCAGACAAGTTGTCTGAGGACTGCTGGTAAATCTCTACTTCTGGTTTTCTTTGTTTATAACAGAAAAATATAAATAAAAACTAAAACATGCAAACATTTATCTTTAATATCGATAATTGATCTCTCTCATACATTGATTCATGATTTAAAATAAAAGTGTGCACTGTAATCCAGAGATGGGGTGGTGGGTAAGTATGCCATAATAAATTACTAGAGATAAAACATATATCTGGTACTTTCTCAAAAGGGTTTTGGGTATGAAATTTCTCAAGTTTTGATACATGTATTTTTGTCTACTATATGTTAGAACATTTTATGACAGCATAATTTTCTACAAAACTACCAGTAGCCAAAATCTCTTACAAGTTCAGTTATTGGTACATGTACTCAAGAAATGCTCTTGAAACTGTACTTTGTTTCTGTACAATTATGTACATGCAAATGCAATTCTTTTTTAAAATTTGAGCACTTTATCTTCTATTCCAACAGGACATTGTATGTATTTCCTGGTATTTTGATTGTTCTTTACCTTGGACTGAACAGCTGGGAATAACAATCATCACAAGTCCTAACCTCCATACCGCTGACTTGTGAAGTCTTTGTTGAACAGGAAGAGCAGACAACTCTGCCACAACGCCGACAATGGTGTCTTCTGTTAAACTGAAATAAAAGTTTAATCATTAAATAAACCATTGTGCTTACAATGAAAATTACCTTACATCAAGAGATATTTGAAAGAAATTAAAAGATTTATAAAATATCTTTACAAATTTATACATGTACAAGCATTTTCAAAAAAATATTATTTTTTGGCTTGGACAAAAACTTCAATTGCCCATACTTTGACCTTGACAAAGTGACTTCAGTGTTCCCTAATACTCTTTTGAAACAATATAATATTTAAAATATTTTCATGAAAAACTAAATCATATAACATACACCATTTTAAAGATGAAATTTTTCACAACTGAAAAAAAAACATGGTTACAGTGCTTATTACAAAAACATATTGGTTGTACACTAACCATACTGAACCGCTCTACTTGGCAGACCATACACGTCTGTGTGGCACTATCCGGCTGCCATTTCTCTTTAGGTGGGGGCTCCGCTGGCATCACAAACTTGTTGGACCTTGTGGCTCTCATTACGGGGGAGCCTATGTTAGGACTGTTACTCAGGAAGCTTCTATTTTTACCTGAAATTTTTGAAATTTTAATAATCAATATGAATTTTCACATCAAATATTTAAAATTAAACTGCAATGTGTGCTACAATTAAAATATTCATAAGCTTGGATAAAAATTTAACACTATAAAACTTACGGTTCTAAAACACAATGGAAAACACACTATTTTAAAATCCTGCTTACAACTTAATTCAAACAAATATATAATTGAAATTTCATTTAACACTTTTGAAAATATTTGAAAGCTTTGCAAAGATAATAATTGAAAATAAAAAAAAAGAAACATTCACTACAAGAACTACAAGGAATACAGTCATATTCTCTTTCTGAAATTCAAGAAAATAAAACGATTCCATGCCAAGAACAGAAGAAACAGACTTAACCTTTAAATCATAACATTAGTCTATTGATTTTAAGTTGCAATATTGCAGATGTATTATCAAGATATTAAACCCATGGAATACTCTAGGTTTATTTATATCTAAAATAAATATACATATTTAGTTGTAAAGTGATTTTATAATTTGTCCAAATGTTTATTCATACAATAATAATTCATGTACAGCTTAACTTTGGTATCTCTAACACCAATCTTTTGATAACCATACCAGAGACATGTCAAAGCAAGTCTACAGTATAAGCTGCAATCTGAATTTCTACTTTGTTTTCTCAAACAACCTGATATCTTGAAGTTCCTGAGTTTGAGATACCAAGGTCTCACTGTAGTAGCAAAAGTAACAAGTGAAGATAGAAAAATATTTTAAGCAGAAGCATAAATTCTCAACTAATGCAAACCAAAAATATAGTGTACCTTTTGTTTTGGAATACTTATTCAAAAAATCTGACAATTAGAGAAGAATAAATTTAGCAGATACATGTATAAGATTACAAAGTTCACCTTGCACAGTGACACTTCAACAGTACATTTTACCTATCTAGAATATACATGCATATATTAGGTAAGTATCAAAGTTTTTCTACACTGTGCTCACTTTTGTAACCTGGGTACATTACATGGCTATCATATTTGTCAGCTATAAATAAGATTCATCACTCCTACGTTCACTCATATAATTTTTTCATTTCTCCGATAAAATCCAACACATTAAAATACACTCATTTCAGTATACTCCGCAGGGTAAAATTTGACAGAGATAGTCTTGCTAAATAATTTATGTAATGTAAAAAAAAAGTAATAATAATGTATTCATTTATCTAAATGAGAGTTATCTCTCTTAGCAGAGGGTTGGTGAACCTTAAAAAGACAACCATTTGATCACAACAACACAGAACAATGAATGAATGTGACAACATTGAGGATCACAGAGGGAGGAATTAGAGATGTTCAATAAGTCTTCTACCTGTGTAGTCTATACTCCTCCTGACCCTCACAGACTCAGTTAAACTGGTTCTCTTTGTGGGAGACTTGTCTGGTGCCCCATCCAGCTTGTCTGAGGAGGCATTGGAGGAAATGGACTGCTGAGACTGAGATCGGTCCTTTTCTAAAATACAAAGTAGAAGTGTTGTGAGCACTGAACTCACAAAATGTTATCCAGTTTGCTATATGAGTATAATTATGGCAAAGTGATCTATAGCAAAATATTTTTATAACAAATCAATTTTTTTTTTGACCTTTTACAAATGTTTTACTATATAACTGAATAAAAAAAATACAATAAATAAATTGATTTATTATGCTTCAATACAGTATATAAAAGTGATATTTTAAAGAGATACCTGGTTCAGTGTACTGGATCACAATGAATTCTAAAGCCTTTGTTGCGTACTCTGCAATCAGTGTATTAAAGTCCTGCTGCGTGAACCTCTGGCCCACATTTCTCAGCTTCTCCAACTCAAAATGAACTTTCTGGAATGCCGTGCTGGCTAACTCCACCTAATCATGAACAATATCATTAACATTTTTGAAACATAAAAATTTCAGGTAGAGTAAGCTTACATTGGCACTTCCTATTTGTTTTGAACATATTTTATTGACAATACAGTATGTCAAAGGGATTGGACCCAAGTTCCAAAACTTGGATACTCCTCTCCCATTTTGAGATATTCTAATGGAAATGGTTTTGAACAATCAGCAATATTTTTCAGTGTCACCTTCATGTTCATCAACAGTTGCTCCAACATCAACTTGGGTTCAGCAACCAAGTGACAGTATTCATGCACAAAGTTCTCTGGCATACACAACAACATCTGTAAACAAAATGACATGCAGATTAAGAAAACTCATTGAAGATTTTATAATGATTTTACTTAAAATATCCATAATTAGCAGACTCAAGAAGTACTGATTAATTAATGGGGTACTCTTGAATTTGCCTCAAAATAATAATTTTTATCTAATATGTAATAGTGTAGTTTTTTTTTTTAAAACTCTTCCATCAAAAAATTAAAAACAAATTTCCTTGCTTTTTCTGGCCACATAAAATTTCTTCAACTATCACCCAGGTCTGTCTCTCATAAAATCAGAAAACTGTTAATTTTAATATTATAAGCTTACATCACATCCTATTTTTGTCTGATGAAGTTCATCCACCCTCTCCTCTGTTAACACACCAGTCAGGTGCTCCATCATGTAAGTTACAACAAACAAACGGTCTTTCTGATTGGTCAATTTCCCAAGCAAGTTCTCACAAATTCTGTAACAGTCCTTTTCATTTGTCTGTTTTAATTCCTCCAAAATCTTATGGAAAAAGTTATGAAAATAAAGTACATATTGATTCTTCTCTAATTTAGAAAATCCAAAACTAGGAATATTTAAGAAATTGCATAAAATGTAGCTGAAAAACCGTTTCTTAACCACAGGAGATTTAAAAAAATCCAAGAGCAGGTATTAAATTTATCTGGAACTTCAATTCAAGTCCTGAAGCATTTCTGCCATTCATATATATATATATATATATATATATATATATATATATATATATATATATATATATATATATATGTATATATATATATATATATATATATATATATATATATATATATATATATATATATAACTCACCATAAAAGATTTTGTTGTGTCTGACTTTGAATTTTCAAGAAGAGTGAAAAGTTGATGTTCAACCACATCCTACAATAAACATTTATTTGGTTGGGTAAATGTCTATATAAACAAATGACAACAGTTAATAAATGCACTGACAGCCAACAGATCAAGAAATAGTGACTGTCTGAGATCGATATGAAATTTATAGTCATTCATAAATTGAACATTTGTCATTAACTGACAATTCAATATAAAAATCAGCAATATGAAATGAGATTTTTAAAGAGTAAGATATTTACCAGATACTTTTGTTCTGGGAATTTGACAAATCCACACCACTGTCTGGCTGTCTCGTAATCTCCAGTCCGCAGTAGGACAGACAACACGGTGCTGGCCTGGGCGGGGGACTGGACATTTCTCCATTCTGTCAGCTGCTCCAAACTGTCAATGTCTGATTTATCCATCTTATCAAAGGAGGTCCCACTGGAAATCTTGAACTGCAGAGTTTTGGCACATTCTGTTATCTGTGTATTAAAAAAAGAAGAAAAACTATTAAAGTTAGAGCAAAATGAATGGTACATGTACGTGGCATTTTGCTTTTTTGCATGCATGTGGATTTAAAATGTTCAAAAAGAAACAAATAAAACTCAATATTCCTACTGAAACTTTTTGTCACCTTACCCTAAGAAACATCTTTAATTCCTGTATTTTTGCTTTCACAGCTGAATGCAGAGATTCGTGTGATTGGAGGTAGAACACCAGGTCAAAAAGTTCACAACACTCTTCCAGAGGAAGACTCTTATAAACAGACAGCAACAAATGAATGAATTTCTCTTTGTCTATGAATTTGTGCATACAGCAGACAACTTTGTCCGTTTGTGATTGGTTTAATGACTGATTCCCACTGACTAGTTCAGTCACACAACAAGCCAAGGCAAAGTCATGGAGAACACAGAGCTGAGGTCGTTGCCTAGTAACAATGATCGGAATGCCCTCTAGTAGTGAAATCACAGCCAACCATTTTCCTTCTTTGGTCAGATCTTCCAACAATTTCATCAAAACAGACTGAAACTCCTTGCTGGTGTGTAAATTCAGCATACAAACTTTCACGCTGTCTGAGATATTGTTGGAAATGAATTTCAAAATGGGGTCGGCACTGCCCAGTATTTCGGGATCCTCAGCCCCTGCGACAGGTATAACGTAGCTCAGAATGTGTCCATTTAATATGGGATAGTCCCTGGTCAATCTCTGGTACCTATAGCTTTTTATGTCCACCAGACTCATCTCGGAGGAGGAACGACTCCTGAGACTTCCCGTGAAATGGTCGACATTAAGGTGTTCCTCTATATCATCTAACTCATCCATACACACAAGACTGACCAAAGTGGCCACCAGAGGGCTCTCATCTTTGATGTACTCCAGGGTTAGAGGTGTCAACTGGTATTTCATATGGGGCACTTTTTTACTTCCACCACTGTGTTCAAATGAAAGGTCAAGATTTTTGGGAAGGGAGGTAACTCTTCTGTGGGTCTTATGGAAAGTTAATGCAGGTGAGGATGGAATGGACCTAAGATTATGGGTTTCACCATCAAACTTTACCAGAAAGTTATATTTATAATTATAAGTCAAAACTTTAAAAGGAAGTTCCTTCCTTCCAGCTGTATCTGAAAGAGAATTCAGAAGAGCATAAAAATCTTGGACTATTTTGCAATTTTTAGCTTAAGATTTTATTAGCCGATAAATAAATGTTGATTAAAAAAAATATATATATTTTTTGAATATATGCAAAAACAACTTTGTAAAATTGTCATTGTATGAAATCATATTAGCTAAAAATCAGCCCTGAGTTCAATTCTTGCCAACTGCCCCCTTCTCAATTAGAAAACTTACCAATACTCTCTGAGTATCCATGAACTTTGTCCATTTGTAACATCTCTCTCAGTACTGTTTGTGTTGACCCTGTGGTGTGCCCCTCAACTACATGTAGGACTCCCTCATGTTCCGCAGTAAATGTCTCCTGTTCACTACTGAAATCATGTCTATACCACATCAACAGCTCAGGCAGGGTGATCTAAGGGGGAAATATAAAAATATCAACAAACCATGTATTCAATGATGTCTTCCCTAATCTGTTTTCTACTTATGGTGTTAAGGTGATATCTTATGGGTGAGCCAGGGTGAAATAAATCATTGCATCAAGTACTGAGGGAAATTTTAATGGAGCAAATAAAAGAATGATTATTTTGGATGCCTGCCTTAATGTCACTGATGAAAAAGAAAATTTACATCATATAAACACATGCAATCTTATGTCTTGAAGAATAAACTCTGACAACCTCTGGTCAATTATTTCCCAAATGCATTCTTGACCATTCTTACTGTATTGTCATCCTTGTTGATCTGTACACAGTTTGTTAAGTACTCTCTCATGGCAGACTGCAGCTGACTTTTGACAAGCTCTGGATTAAGAACCTGAAAGAAAATTAACAGATATACATTTATGTAGAGTTGAAAAATACTGTACGTGTATATAATTTGGCATATTCAAAATTTAGCGCAATCAATGGATATGGAGCTGTTGGCATAATCATGATTTAGTGCTATACGTGTTCCTGCTGCATATTCTATTTATAAATGAATTCTTAGCAGTATTCATGAATTAGCGCATCTTCATCTGCGCCAAAGCTGCTAAAATATGAAGCTCACTATTTTAAGTACACATACAGTACTCTTCAGTTAATTCATGAAAGTTTATATGAGCAAAGGTAACAATAAAAGACTGATTAACCTGTAATGGTGGAGAAGACTCAGAGCAAGTCGTGGTCACAAACAGAAGTCGAGGCTCTGGATATAGGGCAAAGCTAAACCAGGGATCACTTTTATTCAGCTCTATAATAAACAAAAACAATTATTTCATCATGAAAAATAAAATGCAAAAGATGGGTACAACTTTTCAATTTGTAAATTTTCAATGCCATCTATTATATTTACCCAATGTCCTGTTTTTTAATATGCCCTCAAACTCCAAAGGAGGTGGAAGTCCACTTCGATTCAAAATAAACTTTAAATCAAACAGGCTGAAAATTTTCAAAGAAAAAAAAACCATTGATAGCATTAATCATATAATAGGCAATTTAATATTATATTGCAATAATTAAACATAAGTATTCTACAAAATCCTACTCTTTTTTTCTCATATAAACATATCATATCTATCTATCATTATATACACAAATGCTTAAATATGTTTCTTATAAAACACACAATAACACAATCAAGATTTCTGAATTGCACAAGAAAACATATTCCAGTCATTAATAACAATTAACACTACTGTATGCCCAAGAATATTTGTATTTCATTACCTTACTCTTCCCAACTGTCCGATGTTATAGCTGAAAAGACTCATTTGTACAATTTTCTCCATTCCACACAACTCACAATAAATCTTCTCGTCGAGATCTTCTGTATTGGAGGTAGATTTGTCGATATCATCCAAGCACATGTGAAGGAACATAAGATTTTGTAAATTACCATAAAAACATAATTTCTCTTCCCTGGATTTTAATAAATTTAAATCAAGTTCTCTAAAGCACTTAGTTCCTGATATAATGTCCCTATATTCTGGAAGTTTGATTAGACGTTTGGCACAAGAAATGTCAAAAACACCCTTTGGATTTGTGTTTGTGGTGACATCTTTCATCAGGTGCAGAAGACGAGTTAGGATGCTCCGAATCACTGCCTCTGGTCCATCTGGCAAGGAAGGCAATCTTTTTTCTGAAGGTCTTTCAGACACTTTTCTCTTTATTCCTGAAAAAATAAAATCAAAACATAGTAACAAACTCTCCTCTTTTATTCAGAAACATAATAAAAAGGTTTTCCATGAGAAAGGTGAAGGAACCAAAATATGCTTCAATGTTAGCTAAGGGAAAAATTCAAAAAGAAAAAAATTACTGGGTCTGACAAACCTTTTGAACTTGACATTTAGTTAAGTTAATATAACCCTTGATACAAAATTATTTATTTGACCATTCTCCAACTATTTATAACATAGTAAACATTTTAAAACTATTTTGGGTCATAACCATTTTGTTCATGTCAAAGTGCAAACTGGGGTGAAAAATGGATATACACTGAATGGTATGGTTTTCATAAAAAAGAACTTTGAAAAAATGGTGCAATTCATGGGTGCACTATAATACAAGTTAATTTGTCTTTCTTTGCTTTATTAGGTAAAACACCCACCTTCTTTAAGACAAAGTTTACTAGGAATGTTGGTACAGCAGCTCTGAACAATAATCTGTGTCAAACTCAAACTCAATCTCTTGGCCACCTTCTCCAACCTTCATAACATAATTTTTATATCAAAATAATACCAAGTTTGTGTTGCCAATTATTGAATAAAGAGAAAATTCTATCAATGCATTTTAGATGCTTTCAAAATACATGCATATTTTCATGTTAAAATAATATTTAAAACATGCATCTGCTATTTACAAGTTATTTAAGAATTATGAAGGTTATATCCGTATCATACTTCTATAAAATTACACCGAATTTGAAAACATTTTTCCCTAAGTATTGCTACCAAATATGTTAGGGAAGCAAATACATGTACAGCATATGGAAGTAATTCTTAGGAGTTATTACAGAATCTGAAATTAAAAACAAAGTCTCATCAGATAAACTTGCAATAAACAGTACAAATTCTTGTCAAGCAATAAAGAAAAACCTTCCAATTCAGAGATCAGCAAAATAAGCACGGGTATTTCAAAAGAATTTATTTTCAATCAAAATACAATGTATATAAACATTTGACTTTTTTGGAAGGGCAGAAAAATCTTTAGTTTAATGTTGAAGCTTACCACTAGCTTTAGCCTCTGTTTCAGCCACTACGAAGGCCAGTCCCTTGAGATGATCATACAGGTGTTGTAGATAGTCCCTGCTCCCTGAGGAGGATGGAGGTGATCTGTTGGATACAGTAAACAGATGATGTAAAATTAAACTTAGCTCAAGATCACACTTTACTAATGTTATTTCCCTCTTTCATGAATCTATTTATGAATAAAATCATCAATTTATCCATGGTATAATATAGAGGCACTGTGAAATTATCATTTTTCGTAGGGGACCAAAGTTCGTTGATTTTGTGGGTCAACCTTACAAACAAATTTACATCCCCACGAATAATTATTTTGTCAATGTATTTATTCATTAAATGAATATACAAATTACCCACGAAATTACGTCCCCATGAACCAACAAAATTTTGCTTATCCATGAACATTTTCCCTAACGAATTAAAATGATTCCACAGAAGATGAGTTACTGGAATCATTACCTTTTCTGGGGGACATTTAACCTACACTTTTATATCAAGATAATTTGTACTTACATTCTCAAGATCTCAGGATTGGGGTATATTCAACAAATGACAAAATAAATTGTTTTTTACACACCTGGTCATGACGGTACACATCCCTCCCTTGGGAACCTCTTTCTGCATCACATGAATCAGGTGTTTCATGGCGTTGTGTAGCACTGGTTTATCCGTCTGTGTGGGGTCCTCAGATTTTGGGGAGGGTCTGGGACTGGTTTGGGGGCTAGTCCTTGGACTGACTTTTGAGGGACTGAATTCAGAACTACCCCTCTGCGGCTTGTGGATGTACCCCTCCAAAGGCATCTTGCCGTGCTGTTGGAATGCATGTTCTGTTTTATCTATGACTTTTTTCATTTCTATCAACATCACAGCATAGGTTAAACAGTCATCTCTTAGGAGAGGAAGAGTTGCTGTCTGAAGAAATGTTTGAATGCTGTGTTTGTAGAGCATTGATAAAGTTTCTTTGTGTGAAAGTGTTGTGGTTAAGTCCATGTCCCCTCCCAGCTGAAGCAAAGATTCAAACTTGATAATAAGACTAGGAATTCCTTGGATTCTGTGATCAAACTTCTTTTTCTCTTCCCCATTTGAAACTGTGCCTTTCTGGGGTTTAATTTTGAACTTGGATTTGATTATGTCAATAAGACTGTTACATGTTTCCCAAGATTTGCAGGAAGTACACAGCATGTCAAATAAAATCATCATATGCACATTGTTCTGATCAAACAGTTCCGAATACTTCACTGGTATGACATGCCTGGACTTTGGACAGGGAATTGTGGGAAGGCCCTTTTCAGACAGAATTTCCTCTGCTACACTATTCACAGACACAGTTGCCACTCCTGCTGCTGCCACTGATGCTAAGCCTTTCATGGAGAGTTTCCCCGGCTTCACGGCCTGACTTTGCCCTGAGGGAAGTTGTTGAAGTTTCTTTGAGCACTTAGAGAACAACTCTGCAAACTTGACTTCTTTTGCTTGAGGAGTGTCATCTAATCTCAGGAGCTATTTGAATGAAAATATTTCAAAAAGAAATTAATTAGATTTTCAAAAAAGAAATTAAATGATAATTAATATAATAATAATACTAAGAGGAACTTAACAAATTTTCCTCTTTATGATTTACATTTGATTACTGAAACGAACTCTGGGGCAATAAATTAAAAGATAAATAGTATACAGACCTTGATGACTTCAAAAACATGGTTCACTGAAAATATAGTTTTGTTTGGATACACATATCAATTTTGGTCAATAGACTTATAGTTCCTCTGAAGAAGACAAAAACATTAACCTGCATGGTGGATATGATTCCCTTGATGTATCATCAATGCAAGTTTGGTCAACATAGGACTTCTAGTTACTCGGAAATGAAACCTGCACCAAAAACATTAACCTGTTCTCTCAACCTGAAAATGTAGGTCAGATTCAGCATCCGATGCAAGTCTGGTAGTGTACATCCTTAGATGTACCATCCATGCAAGTTTGGTCAACATAGGGCTTATATTTCCTTGTCCTGTGTTAACCTGCTCCAAAAACATTAACCTGATCTGTGTTGCCTCCTTCTGGATTTTCTGTCTAACTTGCTATCTTCATCCCTTGGGTCTAATCAAAAAAGATATTTAAACATACTCGATTATTTATGCTCATCACTAAAGGACCCTGGCATCTGATCATATAATTTACTTGATCTGAATTGAATAAAACCCTAAGCTCATGCAGGTTCATGAAGTAAAACATTCATAATAAAGACAAGTAGACACACCTTTTAATGAAGATGAAATTCTCCTTGTTCGTTTGGTGGCACCATTTTTTTGTTGTAGTAAAAATGCCAACTCATCGTCATTCTCCTCTAGAGAAAACGACAGTGGTTTGGCCAGGACCACCCCTGGGGTTCGGGGGATCATTTCATGACAAACCAGCTGGAACCTCCACTGAGCCTCGCTGACAAACTGCTGGAGTTGTGACACATGCCTTTGTAGGGTATCTCTTCCCACACTGGACTGGACCAAGCGTGACAGAGGTTCCTCCAGACTAACATCTATGACTGTCTTTGTAGCTTTTCCAGGCATTTCCTTGTTGCCTAATATTTGGAACTTGGCCGAACTCAGATCAACTAGACACTCCTTCAGTAAAGCTAGAATGTCTCTGACTAGATACTCATTACACAGGAAGCCAAATTTCCGACAACTGCTGGTACTCCCGGTGCTCAGCGTGCTCCCATTTCCAGACCCGCCTTTCTGATGGGCCAGTTTTTCCTTTAAGCTGTTCAGTCTTTGAAGATAAACACTCCGACTATTGTCTTGACTAGCTGACCTTTCTCTTTTCTTAGTTTTGACATCTGGAACTGTCTCTACAAATGGTTCATCATAGCTTCCAATAAGAATTTGTCCCACACCTGTTAGATCCTCACCTGTGATTTTTTCATCAACACTCTGCGAGGGGGAGGAAGTGCTTCCCTCTGACAATATACTCTGGCTCAAACTCGGATGATTACTCACTATTGTCTCACTTCTCCCTCTTTCATCCTCCTCTCCAGTTTCACTATCAGAATCAAAAATGGCCGACGATTCCTGAATTTCCTCATGAGACAGAAAGAGTAAAGAAAAAATGTTTTCTAATATTTCTACCCTGAAGTTTAATGGTTGCAGTTTACTTAGATAGACTTTGGCACTACTGAGTTTCTGAGTGACATTTTTAGAGTACTCTTCTTGAAAGTTATACCCTGATTCAGAAGTCCCTGAGTCACTGGAAGACATGCTTGAAATCATGTGTTCCAGTGGACTTACAGAATTGGACTCTTGCACTGGATGGACTAGTTTTTCATGAACACACTCAGCACAAAAATAGACAGCATCCATAACATTTTTTATTGCACAGTAACCAGTGTAGATAGATATATCTCTCCATCTCTCGATATGAAACTCATCTTTTTCTTTATCTGTCTCAAATCTCACAGATTTTGTTGACTCTGGAGGGAAAAAAATTGAATAAGTAGACCTCAATTCATTGACACAATTCATACACTGCCTAACACTTTTCATTTAGTATTGTTCTTTTTATATTAAGAACAAACCCTCAGAGTTTACAAAAATGAGCTGCATTTTTCCTTTAGCATATTTTTCCAAGAATGTATTATTTTAATGACTTTGTTGGAATTAAAAATCTACATGTAAACAGAAAATTTTTTTTAACCTCAGGATTTCTCTCAAATAATTCTAAAAGAAATGGAATTATGGGATTCTTTACCTGGGTTTTTCTGGAGTGGACTCTTTTCTAATAGGTTCAGCACTTCCTGTTGTTCCAGTGAAGCTAGGCGAGTAGACTGATGGAGTACGTACAACACAGAGTGGTTCTCCAGTCCTGTAAACATGTCCGCTGCTCTCTGATTGGAGCTTACCTGGCCCTTCTCAGCGGCTGGTAAAAGTGGCCTAAAGAAGACAAGAGATAAAGATGTATTATATGTCTTCCTACTCAACCAATGGAGTAATTCAGTCATTACTTTTTCAAATACTATTCTTGGATACTCATTTACTGTTGTGGAATCTTTTGAATTGGGGATGGCGGAGGGTTACTGGAAATCAACATTTTACTGATTTGGGGGACAAAATTTTATGGATAATTCTTAAAAAGAGCATCAATGAATATATCGTCAAACTTATTGTTCTCCAATCTTCAAAATATCTATAGATGTATGTATACTTAGTGTTACTTTAAAACATGACCCTTATTAGACTGACACCACTGAATCATTATTGACTTACTTGGTTCTGTCTAGACACCACTTGATGAGGTCAATTTGGTATGACAACTTATTACAGGCACTCTCCAGTACAGGGTGGGAACTCTTCCACTAGAAATAATTAAAAAGAACTATAGTACATTTACTGATATTCTTCCACTAAAAAATGGTTAACAGGTGGAAAAAATGCATACAATAAAGATTAACTTTCTCAGATATTTAAAAAATGTTTCTTTCCACAATTTTGGCTGAAATACTGTAAAAATAATTTAATTATATCTTTGAATCTGCATAAATCCCAGACTTTTAGCGACAATTTTGAGATGAAAAATCAAACCTGTTCATTTTTTAAGGTGTCCAGTAGAAGTTTAGCCTGGGCACAGGTCTGACAGTAGGACCAGCCGTGGAGAAGAAGAAATGGTCTCAAGTGATCAAACATTCCCGACGATAGAAGCTGACCCAACTCCTCAAACAAGCCATGTTTTATCAAAAGGACTGCTGTGTTCTAGGGACAAAAATAAATGCTTGTAAGAGTGACAAATCAAAGACACATGCTAACTGTATATTCATGAACAAAACAAACATGATATATATATATTTTTTCTTGAAAAAATTTAATATTCTTTTGCATTTCCTGTTTCAAAAAATAAAATCAATATAAGTAGAAAAATGCATATGAATTCAAAAATTTACAATGAACAATTTTGAAAATCCTTATGAAAACTTTATTTCAAAAAATAAATATCAAAATAAAATGGAAAAACTTATTTGTAACTGTGAAATTTAAAAAAAAAAAACAAAAAAAAATCAATATAAGATGGAAAAACTGATTTTCTGTGAAATGACCAATAAAAAGTACATCATATCATTACTCTTTTGAAAGAATACTGTTTAATTTATTTTAAATAATGGTGGCTTTGGCCAATCATACCTACCACAACAACATTAAGGAAATGTTCTTTGTTTGTATAACACATTAGAAACAGTTGATGCATTCCTTCCTCTGTATTCTCTTCTTTGGAAATTTTCAACATCACCCTGGTTTCTTCAGTAGCATCAACATCTCTAAGATTGGAAGGAAAACTACAAGTCTTGACATAAACTTCATGCTCTAGCTTCAGAAATTCCTGCACCAAATAATTATTTTCTGCCCCAATCAGGCAAGACAGCAGGAATTTCCTATCTAGTATTGGTCTTTCTCCACAGGACAATTCCAGAAACCTACCAAAAACCTCCCTAATTTCTGAATAATTTTCATAGGTTTGGGGATTGAACAGTGAGAGTATCTGATATAAAGTTTGCTGATTATCATCCTGTGATGATACTGTGTTTTCCTCTCCACCCTCTGCAACTTTCTCCCCTGCCTCTGGAACTTGGTGAAGGGGTTGGGAAATTTTATCCAAAATACTGCCGATAGCCTTGATGTACAGTAACTGTAGGACTTTGTTGTTTTTCTTGTACTGTTCATGGTCAGAATTTGCATGAAGAGATTGTATTAATCTGTTTCCTAGAACTGGATTCTGTAGTAGAATGGACAGCAGTGTCTGTAGAAGTTGTGTGGTCACCACACGAGGACTCCGGGCCTGGGCGGTCCCCCGACTCTCCAGCTGAAGCACATTCTGGTGGTACTGATACAATTCCTATGAAATATAACATTAACATTTAGATTTTTCCACATAGTAATTGTATCTGTTGTATATTTTATCAAACTTTATAGAAAATATATACATATGCACATACCTTGAGTATTGTTGCAGGTATCCATTCACAGGCATCAAATAATATTAATGAAAACTCAACATCCTTATGTAGTAGTTCAAAATCTTTTTCCTTAAAAAAATTATGATTCATAATATTAATATTAAGATTAATATTAGTCACTGAAACATAGCAAAGTCAGCAAAACAGTCAGCCCAAAATATGTCTCTGAACAGTTCCAAACATTCCTATATAACCATTATTTCTACTTTGGGCAACTTGACTTTAAAAAAAATTGTGAAAAGTCATGAGTATATACACTGAGTACTTTCTTTTAACATCTCATTTATAGTGTGGTACCTTGCCTTCTGCATTTTAAACTTGAATTGGCATTTGATATATCAATTGTTTTTCTTATCTGCTGCCCCATGAACACTTTAATGAGGGGACTAAACAATTTTAACACAACCTTGTAAACATGCTAACCATCTATGGACATTCAAGAAAATCAATATTGTGTCATACCTCATATGCATCATTTGTAAGTGTACAAGTGTTAGTACCTTTGCAAAGGAAGTTATGCACCTGTGTAGTTTGTATGTTAGCAAAATTTTTTAATGTTTAATGCAAGACAGTTTGCATGAAAGCTTTTCCCTATGACAAATATGCAACAATAATTTATAATAAATCTGAATTGAATTGCCTTGTGTGGGGCTCAAGTTTGTTTGAAGTCAGTCTCTTTGGGTGTCTCTATTACCTCTGTATTCTTCAAAGTCCTGTATTTCATCAAACAAAGCCATGATAAGTGTAGTGGTGACCTGATGTTTGTTCCTGTTTCACTGAAAGAGCAAAAAAGTTAGCTGACTTTATTGAAGCCATCATGTTTATTTCAAGGTAGAGAGATTGTAGGTGTGACCAGGACGATCTAATGCAGGATGTAAACTAGTGAATAGAATTTCGAAATTCAATTGAACATATTAATACAATAGTCAAAATTAAGAGATTTGCTTGGAGGCAATTAACTTTTATGAAAAGGAAATCAATGCATATTTAGCATGCCTAAATTTAATTGAGATATAAACATCATGACAATTACTTCACATTTTGTATAAGCTAGGTTTTAAAATTTTGGAAAATTTCGACAATTTTGAGTTGAGATGGCAATTAAAATTTACTCAACTATCATAGAAAAAGTGTATTTAGAATAGTTACATGATGACCAATGTTTTTATATTATCAGATTAGAACGTTCCTGTCCATGTAGATCTGCAGTATGTAAATAATGACAATTGACATAGCCATGCAGAGCAATGCAACTAAACCACCCTCACACCTCATGTTATCATATCATGACATATACAATACATATATTTAATTCATATACAACTAATATATATACAGTTTTCTACAAAGTAAGGATCTTATATAAATGATTTTGATTGGCTGGGTTAGACTATGGGGTACAGGAATCAAGAGAATTATTCATTTTCAAACCCAAACTACCTGCGACTAAAAGGAAATTGAATGACATCGAGTAAAACGTCTTTGATGTTGACATCAGCATATTTTCCTTCAGCATTTAATTGATCGATACAAGCTTTTGACAACTCCCACTCGCCTCTGTGCAAATGATAACAAAAATATTTAAAGAGAGTTTGAATCGAATGGGCTTTCTCCTCTCCCAGTCTGAATAAACAGGAAGCACCAGCATTTTCGACACTTTCCATATCCAATGGAATACTTTTGTTCAATTATCAAACATATTTATCATATAAAAACTGAAAAAATGTCAAAAGTAGAATGACACTACTGGGAGTCGCCATTTTGTAAGTCACATGAGAAGTCGACCTTTGAACCAAACAGCCAATGAAAATTTGTTTAACATTTTCTATTGTCCAATAACAAAGACGATTTCATAATGCGGTAATTTCGAAGCACGCTTCGGTAACACATGAAAACAAAAGACAGAGGTCTTCATTTGGGTAAACAAGTTTAATTTTTAGAGAGTTATACTACACTTAAGTGACACTTCCATTCTTATGCCCTAAAACGTTTGCAAATACTCGAAATAACATTGTCAAAATTTTGAGCATTTTCATGTCTGTTCATGTTGCAATGTTTACATTTTTGTACGCAAGTCAGAACAGTTCATTTGAGTTTGTTCATGTTTCAACTTTGGTTTTCTGTCGGTTATATCTTTGCTTGTTCTGAGAGTGGTATTGTTGGAGTAAAAGTCTATCCCAGCAAATGATGGGGAGTGGATCTCAAATTGTCCACGAAGCAGGGACATCCATACCCCCCAAACCTGTAATTCAGTCTGTGCAGGCAGAAAAAGAATGTGCTGTTAATAATGAAGCAAAGGATTTGGGAAATAAACAGCTGGATCCATGCCCTTTGGATCCTCATATTTCTACTTATTCTGCAGGTCTCTCAAAGTCAATTGGAAAGTAAGGAAATTTGACAACAGTTTTGTACAAATATCAGGGCATGCTATCAACATTACAAATTTTAATTACATTTTAAAAAATGCAATAAATGAATTCAAGGTTATACATGATTACTTCAAAGCTATTGAGAACTTAGTTGGCATGCATATGTTGTTAACTCTGAAAAAAAGAGAATATACGATCTGTCTCGAATCATTAAAGTATGTTTTTATAAAGAGTAAAGATATATTTGTATTGGGTAGGCATACTTAATACCTTATTTATCTTTTGTTTTAAAATAAAAATACTGAGATTATAATATTAAGTAAGAAAGTTTTAAATCGTTTATTATAGTGACATGTTAAAATACAATACAATCAGAATGAGAAACATTAATACAATCAAAGTTCAAACACCCATCCCATCGAACCTAGTATATGTCACTTTTAACAAAAATAAATGAAAAATATATGCACAAGGAACTTTGATTTATTTGAATATCTGCATTGTGCCAATCCTCTTCTTCAAATTATGCAGGAAGTTTAACTAACTGAGATGGACTGTTTTCTCATCAATGGGGCATCAATGATTATCATCCACTTATTTAGCATATTAAAAAAAATGATTATAAGCACAGACTTTAATTATGTTATATGATCAAGTATCATGGTTTGAAAAAGAATTAAAATTTTTACACTGATTATTTCACCTAAAAAGTAGTTGCTTGTTAATTAGCTTCTGAACCATAAAGCTATGTTATATATATGTGCTGATTTAATACTAATTAATATTCGTTATTCATTATCAAGTCTCCCCATCAACCTGAATCTTGTTATGTGTTGTCTTCCACTTTATACCTATACACTAAATAATACACACATCCTGATTTACTAATAATTTGAATTTTTTACACTCTTATTAACAAACTTCATGATTATCTTTCAATAAGGCAATTAAAAACAAATAGGTTGGGGGGGAGGGGGATTATGCTAGATTTGTCTCAATCCAGATAAGAAATATCTAATGACTACACATCATCTTTTGATTTGACACTTTTGTGGTTTTCCAATTTTCAATTTATGAAATAGGTCTATTTGCACTGCCAACTCTTAGACTATTAACATATTCATATAAAGCAAAAATTTATGCATGTATAAAAGATGTAAAACTGTAGAACTGCCACCTTTTGAACAAAGTTTTGCCCATTAATTATAAACCATTCATCAGTTAAACTAATTAAACTAACAAAAAAAAAATCAACACTGGAAGGCTTTTCCCAGAATGTCACTTTCTTATGACAATCACAGATTGACACTGGCATGTGTTGAAAGATAGTGTTAAGGATTAATTCCTTTGGAAAAAAAATCTAGTTTGATGATTCAGTGTATTAAACTATATTATCCATTGCAAATTCAAAAGGAATTGGAGATATTATTATATATACATGATATAATCATATGTATACTAGTCTAGGTACCGGGGTACTTTCACTAGTACAATGTATATTGATCTATAATATGTGTTCTTCTCAAGATACCTGTCTTTTCATTTAGCTAATATACATGTATCACTCAATTGTTTTGTCACCCTAGGTATATATTTCTTGCTTCATTAATTTTGAATAGCCCTTCCAAAACTAAAGGCTCTGTTTCTCTCTTATATGTGTTACCTTCCCGGCCACTTTGTGTCTGTGTTGACAGATAATTCCATAACAGGTGTTAAATAAGGGTGACAATGCAGTTACAATTTGCCATGGACAGGTAACTCTTGATAACCCAAGCCCCCAGGGCATTTGTCAATAGCTTTAGGGTGCCTTCAGATTATCTTTCAAACAATCAGCTTGATCTTTTTATTTCCTTGTAATATTATTTTCATTGTTGTTAACAGGTTAGTAAAAGAATTTTTTTTTCTTTTTGTGTTTAATTGTTGAGGCTTATTTGATCCTCTTCTCATAGGTGTAAAGTCATTTTTAGTCTTTCAAAAAGTCATGCATACATGTGCATGTGCATGTGGGAGAAGGTAGTTGGCTTATAATGAGATTATATTGATTGAATTTTACAATCTTGGCAATCTTTTATTTTGCTTGCAGTGAATTTGATTTTATCATCTTTTTAAATAACTGTAGCTGAAAAATGATCATTTAATTTTTTTTCTCCACTTTAGACCCAGAATGCCCAGTACATTAGAGGATTTTGAAGTCATTGGAACCATTGGATCAGGATCATATGGAACATGCAAGAAAATCAAGAGGAAGAGAGATGGAAAGGTATACTCTGAGGTTTCAATTTACCATAATATTAGTTAGATATTAGAAGTATAAGGTGCAATTGAATATACATGATAAAGCTTTGTGAACATAAATTTGTTGGTGAAACTTTCAGGTTTCAATTGACCATAATATTAGTTAGATATTAAAAGTGTGCAATATGGCTCTGTGGACATAAATTTCTTGTTTATCTGTATTGTCAGTTGGAAGTCTTTGTTCAGCTGTGGAGTTAATTGAGATAAATGGAGTTGCAATCTTATCTAAGAGCCTAAATTCTGTAGATTTATCATAGTGTTTGAAACCATAAATAACCCATTGATAGTACCTGTGGTAAGGTGTAAATAGGTCTTACATAACTATTTTCTTTGAATATTTTTTTTAATCTTGATTAATTAAAATGCCATTAGAGGCTAATCATATATGTGTTGAACAACTGTTGAAATGTTTGCTTTCTCTGATATGACTGTAGCATTGAACTTTGACTTCAGGGAAGTGAAAATCTTAAAATGTTTTATCATGTAGAGAAATAGCTATATGAAATTAATTGTTCTGAATAAAACTTAAATGATTTTTAAAATTACCCGTGTAGGTAAATGTTTTGCTCATGTGAAATCAAAATATTGCATACCTGGTACATGTGTATTTTCTCACTCAGTCACTGCATGCATTTGATTATGCTATTATGCATGCAGCATGTGCTAAAGTAAATTGTTTGTCAGAGTGTTTTTGTAACAGTCTTATTTCCATCATTGACAACATCCCCCCCCCCCCCCAAAAAAAAAAGCTTTAAAAATTTTCACTATACACTTCTATGGTATGGAATTAAGAAAAAAAGAAGATACATTTTATACGTATATATTTGGAGAAACAGGAATCAACTCAAAGGGAGAATTAATATCAACTTGTTCTTAAGTTCATGTTTTATTTCTATAAAGGTTCTGGTATGGAAGGAGATGGAGTATGGCACCATGACAGAATCAGAGAAACAGATGCTGGTGTCGGAGGTCAACTTACTCCGTGAACTGAAACACAAACACATTGTTCGCTACTATGACCGAATCATAGACCGCAGCAACACCACCATCTACATCATCATGGAATACTGCGACGGAGGGGATTTATCAGTTCTTATTTCAAGTTGTAGAAGAGAAGGGTAGGTCAACTGGTTCTGACAAAAACAAAAAGTATTACATTCCAAAGAGTGAATGATCAAATGAATATTTATTTTGTAATTTTGGAAATTTTATCATAAATTATATATTAATAAAATTTGATTGTAAAAAGATATTTCAAAACATTCAAAAGAATGAATGATCCAAGAAATATTTATTTTGTATCTTGGATTACATACTTATAAATTGATAAAATTTAGAGTGTAAAAGATATTTATGATTTACATTAATCAAAGCTCTTCCATTCAGTTTTCTTTTTATAGAGTTAAAATAATTACAGAGTTCGGACTGGCAAGAAGACAAAACAAGCCAGTCCAAAGTGACTTTAGCCAATCTGAAATCTTTATATCACAAAAATGCAAAAAAAAAAAAAAAAACCTAATTTTTTGGGGCTTTATTACACATCTTGTGATTAATTCATAATATTATAGTCAAGAGAAGCTAACTTTTATGCTCCTGGTTAAGGGTAGCAACAGAAATTACAGATGATGTATTTTTATGTTGCAGAACTTATCTGGATGAAGATTTTGTGTGGAAAATGTTGATACAAATGACATCTGCTCTGAAGGAGTGCCATCGCAGGAAGAATGGTAAAGCAGTGTTACACAGAGACCTAAAACCGGCCAACATATTTCTGGACTCGGACAATAATGTGAAACTCGGTGACTTTGGACTGGCTAGAGTTCTACATCATGAAACCAGCTTTGCCAAAACCTTTGTTGGAACCCCGTACTACATGTCACCTGTAAGTTAATGAGAATGCAGATATTTCCAGTTACTCTTTTGCATAACTGCCTAAAGTGCAACAACTTCATTCCCTTTACCTTGTCAGCCTAGAAAAAAAATTAAATATATCGTTTTCAGTTTATGTGAATAATGTATATCATACACTTGTTGATAGAGAGCTTCACTTTTCTATGCTGTTGAATGTGATATTCTCTGCTATTGATTATGATATTGTTGATGTACTGTGAAATCACAAATTTTTGTCTGTGTTTAATGTTCATGGTTTTTGAGGTATGAAGAGACCCATGAATTTATGTCCACCACAGAGTGCAATTTTTTCACATATTGTACTACTGAACAAAATCAATTTCCCATGAAGCAATATATATTTTCCACAATCCATGAAAATCTGACCCCTAAAAATATGTTAATATTTTACAGTAAATTCTTCATAATATGCTGCTGATAAGCCTCAGAATCTGGTTCAATACATTGTACATGTGATACCTTGAATTTGTTTCTGTTTATAGGAGTTGGTCAACAACATGTCCTATAATGAGAAATCAGACATTTGGTCCATGGGTTGTATGCTGTATGAGATGTGTGCCTTACATCCCCCGTTTACGGCCAGTAACCAGCAGGACCTGAATAAAAAGATCTGTGTGGGGGACTACAAGAGGATCCCCAGCCGATACTCCGAAGATCTCAACAGCATCATCTCCAAACTACTCTGTGTAGAGGTACTGTATGTCACTTTATGTTTTCAAGAAAACAATAGATTTATGTAACTGAACAAGACTAGCTGCTTGTGGAAATGTTGTTCTCAGGTATATTTCTTCTAGTAAAGATCCCATTAAAAAGTGTAACCTTATTAAAACTGTATCACACTTTTAAATACCAAATAACATTTCTGGTGAAAAATACTGTGTCAGGAAAATTTGGAGATCTGCATTAGAGGTACTCATCTGATGAAATGGTATTGACCCCAATAATATTAGCAGCATGGAAAACATTTCATTCATTTATAATGTGGGTATATGTGACTTAATCTTCCGACCAATGACTTTTTGTACCAATTTTATACAGCATATAGATCATAAATCTGCATTTTTATGGAGGGGTCCAGTCCCCCCACTCCCCTCTAGATTTGCGCATGTCTGAGAAGGGGAATTTTAAAGTATTTTTTAAACTTATTTAATATTTGATCCATGATATAAAAGTACAATGACTACGGGGACAGGACTGTACAGCACTTAGTTTTCACAGTAATATTCAACATTTTTAATACATATACAGAGTTATTTTATGTGTTAATCTTTGTTTAGGTCAACAAGAGACCCAGCATTGAGGCCGTCCTAGCAGATCCTATAGTTCTCCGAAGGAGTCTCAAACTGGACAGTGCTCGACGGAGCTCAGCGGGTAGTGCCGGGGCAGACTCATTATATACATGGGAGGAAGAACTGAAGATTAAAGAGAGGAAACTGGAAATGAAAGAAAAAGAATTAAAAAGTGAGATTTTATTTATTTTTACAGAGATGTCAAATTTTCTTTTGGTTTTCATTTAGGAAAACATTTAGAAGTAAATAAAGGCAAGAAAATGCTGCATTAATATTATAAATTTTTTCATCATCTTCTGAATCATTTTTTTCTTTTAGGTCAAGAGCGAGAACTTGCTATCAGGGAGAAAATGATTGAAGATAAATTAAAACGGTAAGATTAGCCAGCATTATACGGTTATACCTGATTTTTTACCCCAATAAACTGTTCCATTTAGAGAAATGTACATTGATTTCTTACACTTCTTTGTTGTAGAATTGAGTTACTAAGTAAAGAATTCAGAAGAAAGAGTGACCTGTCTCGCGAAGTCTCCTCATCAGGGGATGGAGGTAAAACTTTATTGTCCCCAATAGCGCCACCACCCCGTATGGTGGTCAAACCCATGAACTTTCCTCTGCTTTGCATTCCGTCTAAATTTGGTACTCAAAGATCACCCTTGACACCAATTAACTCGGACAGTAATAAAAGAAGTTAATGGTGCCATTTTTCCATGCTTTATCCCTGTGTGTGTATTTGCTTTTTAGTGGAAATTGATGAGGGAAACTCAAGAGATTCAGATTCCCTTATCAAAACTATTTTCCTGCTTGTCATTTGCAAATTTCAATCATTTTAATGCAAGATTTTAATTCAAATTTAAAATTTGACCATTTCTCATGGAATTTGAATCTTTCCTGCATGTAATCTTCAAATTTCAATCATTTTAATGCAAGATTAAAATTTAATGCAAAATTAAATTTTGACCATTTCTCATGGAATTTGAAATCAATATTCTGTCATATTTTCACATGCTTTAAAGTTAATATTTTAAGAAATGATGATTGAAATTCCTTTGCTGTGTTGCTTTCATGTTTGTTTGAAATATTTCTATGCAAAATAATTTTTTCTAATGGTGCTATGGTAAATATACTGCAAAATCAGTTTTCTGTACTTCATGCATTGGAAATCTGATTTCACAGCTCATATTTGCCAAAAGTCAAACTTTCATTTTATATTCAGTCATCTTCTTTTGCTGTGCTGTTTTTCATCTTTAGTGTTTCAATAACCACAATATGTATTCAATATGTATTCAATGAAAAAAAAATTGCAGTGAAAAAAAATTAACATTTGATTTAAAGTTTGTTTTCCTTAATTTATTTTTAAAAGAAATAATTGCAATTTTCAAAACTGAAATATCCACTGCACTTTTTAGCTCTACTGGTCAGAGACCAGAAGAGTTTATGCGATAGTAATGCGTCAGGCGTCCGTCCGTCTGTCCGTCTGTCTGTCCGTCAGTCCGTGTCTGTAAACAATTTTTCAAAATGCTACTCCTCCTACAGTTTTGGTCTTATTTCAATATAACTTTGCACACAAATAGACTACACTAAGATACATAATTCTGTGTATCGGTTTTTGATTTCGATGAACGATGTTGCCGTGGTTACTAAAAATAGAAATTTCTGTGAAATTCTTTCAAAATGCTACTCCTCCTACAGTTTTGGTCTGATTTCAGTATAACTTGGCACACAAGTAGACTACACTAAGATACATAATTCTGTGTATCGGTTTTCGATTTCGATGAACGGTGTTTCCGTGGTTACTAAAAATAGAAATTTCTGTGAAATTCTTTCAAAATGCTACTCCTCCTACAGTTTTGGTCTGATTTCAGTATAAATTGGCACACAAGTAGAATACACTATGCTACATAATTCTATGTATCGGTTTTTGATTTCGATGAATGGTGTTGCCGTGGTAACTAAAAATAGAAATTTCTGTAAAATTGTTTCAAAATGCTACTCCTCCTACAGTTTTGGTCTGATTTCAGTATAACTTGACACACAAGTAGACTACACTAAGATACATAATTCTGTGCATCAGTTTGTGTGTGTGAACGGTGTTGCCATGGTTACTAAAAATAGAAATTTCTGTGAAATTCTTTCAAAATGCTACTCCTCCTACAGTTTTGGTCTGATTTCAGTATAACTTGGCAAACAAGTAGAATACACTAAGATACATAATTCTATATATCGGTTTTTGATTTCGATGAATGGTGTTGTCGTGGTTACTAAAAATAGAAATATCTGTAAAATTCTTTCAAAATGCTACTCCTCCTACAGTTTTGGTCTGATTTCAGTATAACTTGGCACACAAGTAGACTACACTAAGATACATAATTCTGTGTATTGAATTTTAATTTTGATGAACGGTGTTGCCGTGGTTACTAAAAATAGAAATGGCTGTAAAATTGTTTCAAAATGCTACTCCTCCTACAGTTTTGGTCTGATTTCAATAACTTGGCACACAAGTAGACTACACTAAGAAAAAAGAGACTTTATCAAAAAAAATTATTCTATTTAATGCTGTTTATAAAGTTTCAAATCCCAGCTGCTTAAGTACTTTCTTTCTTTGCTATAAGTTCAAACCACTGAAATATCCACTGCACTTTTTTTTTAATATGTTTGACTGTGCTGTGCTTCCTGTAAAATCATGCTTACCTGTATCTTTTCATGTCTGTTGATGCATGTCTCATTTCATATTCAAATATATTCAAATACATATTCATTCTTGTGTTTGTCTTTTCATTTTGTGTTTGCTTTTGCATTTCCTTTTCATGTGTGTATTTATACGTTATAGTCATTTTCATTTGAATCTGATCTGAAAAATGAGGTCAAATAGCCTTTTATTTGCTACCCTTGGAGTTGCACTAATCAATTTATAACCTAAAACACAAGTGGAAAACAAGAAATTCTCTAATATAATTATTGCCCATTTCCTTTTACGAAATCTGAGTGTTATTTTGTTAATTCAGTGATTTCTGTTTTTGGTAGTTACAGTCTGAGATATTTTTCACGACAGAATATGAGTGCCATTTAATGATTAATTTGTTCAATTCTGTCTATAATTAAAAATGTTTAAGAAATTTAGTTTGGACAATATGTCTATTTATTAACAGGCTTCTTTTTCTTTTCCAATGGTAAATCGTTTTTCAGATAAGAATCTTTCATAATTTTAACTTTTGTGCCATTTATTTACTTTTGTAGTAATAACTTATCATAGCTTGCATCTGATTTTCACGAAATTCTCTCATCCATCACCCTCCTTTGGGTATGTATACTCTGAAATAATGTGGTGAAAAATTACATACTCTTGGAATGAAGATGAAATGGGTTTTAAAAGTTTGAAATACTGGTATATGTATATACATGTATATTTTAAAAAATATCTTTTGAAGAAACAATACCATGCATTGATTAAGTAATGTAAATCAATTAATTATCACAATACTATGGAATTTATTTTTTTAAAATGCACTGTGACTTTCATTCCCCATTGCTTTGAAATGTATTATGAACTTCACCTTTATAACTGTACATCAGTATTCACTCAAGATGGGAACTTGGGAGAACTGGTACATGTACCCATGAAATTTAATGATTCCATCAAAAATGGGTATTCACTATTAAAGGTGTATTTGAGGGTTGTACATACATATGAGTTACTTTTAGCTCAACCTGACAAAGTTGTGTATTACTTCAGGCATTAGCATCCAAGGTTTATGTTTTTGGAGCAGATTTCTTTCCATATATTTCTAAGCCCTTTATTGATGATAATTTATTAGAATTTCATGGGTGATGAATATAGTATGTTTCATTAGACCAATCAGGTTTCAGATGCTGCATATTTTACAAGTACAGTAAAACATCATTTAATTATATCAAACTCAATGAGCCTGAGACAAAATTTGAAATATTGGAGGATTCAAGATATCAGATTTAAGATTCTTACTGAATAACTGATTCGAGCTTCAAAATAAAAGTGTTTGAGATACATGTACTAATGTTTTCCTAACACTGACCAGAATAATGTTGTGGAGCATGTCAAGGTTTTTACAAGGTGAAAGTTTTTGGAGCAAGCTTGCGGTCAAGTATCTACATTAATAAAGTCTACCTGGACAAAACTGCTTTGATGATTCATCTAAATGATGGACAAAAGTCTTACTTCAGGTGCTTTCATCTACATGTACATTTTTTCCAGATGAGTGACCATTGACCAGATTAAAGTTTTAGGAGGAGTCTGTTCTCAAGTTAACCATTCTTATGGTGACTAAACTTGCATGGATGATGCATTTATCAATCAATACACACTACCAGACTTGCTTCAGATGCTGTATCAAACCAATTTAATCTCAATGACATGAAGATTTTGGAGTCATAAGTGTCACTTCGTGTGTGAAACTAAAAGGCATCTTGAGCCAATAAGATTCAATTATTTACCAGTCAAAGATGCATGTCACACCAGATATATTTTTTTCCTTGTTCCTATTTATATTTTATGATCCTTTTCAGATGACATAGACTTGTTTGATGGTTTGCATCCATGTTTGTCAAGAGGCAGGCGCGATCCAGACTCTCCCAAGAAAAAAGTCTCGTTTGACATGTACGGCAAGGAAAATCTCCGTCGCCACGACAGATACAAAGATTACACTGTGGATCATCTCCTCACCAAAGATTATACCTCAAAGTATTCATCTGATCTCAAAGACTATCATAATCTGTATGAAGTAGAACTTGCTAAGAGAAGGGAGCTAAAAGATAGACTATTTAGGGCAAAATCCAAGGTGGCAGATTTGCATGATTTGAAAATTGATTCTCACATACGAAATCGAAATTTACTGTATTTTAGGTAGTTATTTAATTTTTGCTAGGATTTTTTTTTTTTTAAAGAAATTTTTCATTCTTTTTTTTCCATACATTTTTATAGTAATTTATTGTTTTTGAGAATGTCATTGATATGACTATCAAGCAGAATAGTTTTTGATTTCTTGGTAGTACATGTAATTTGCTAAAATTTTGATATTTTTCTAAATTTATTTATTATACATGTATTGATATTTTGATCCATTAATTAAGTAATTATCATGAGATCTTTATCTCATCAATGAATTTCCATTTGATTCTTTATTTACAGCAATTCCGCCCATTTTCTGTGGCTCATTTGCCATTTTGAAAAACTACATTCCTTCACATTTATATTTATTGTTTTGTCTTACACATTTTTATTTTATTTGAATTTTTTAAAAAATATTTGCACTTTACAGCAAACTTTTAATCACAAAAAGTTGCTTCTCATCCATATTTGTGACTAGGAAAAATGACATAAATTATGCTTGTTTGTAAAACAGGTATTGTGCAAATCTCATGCAAATGCTGAAAGTGATGAAAAATGTCATTCATATGTATTAATTTATTTATTTCATTGATGTTTAAATACATGTTGACATCTAACCATATATCTAAGGTTGACACAACATCATTTACCAGTATTTTAAAATTTTTGCAAATTGCAAACTAAATGTGCTCATAAATAATTTACATTCAAAAAACAGTAGCTATTGAGCTCTGTGATATAATTTTATATTTTTTCATTTGTTGTTTTGTTACTGAATAATAAAATCATAGACTTGAATTTTTTTGTTATTAATTAAAGGCCAATTAGCGTATGGTGAGAACAAACTTGAAATTAAAACAAGCAAATTTAAAGAATCGTCCCCTGTTCTCGATGACTTTGTTGGTGAGATGTAATTTTTATGGCATATCGTGTCAAATATGAACCCCCTATAATATTCATTCAGAAGTTATCACCAAAGTTTTTTTTTTTTTAATTAGGTCAATCGTGAAGGTCAAGGGGTAAGAAATCATAGCATGCACAGATAATGCAAATGTCAATCAAAATTTTGAAGGAAAAATTAATATTTTTGAAGAGTAGGTCAAACTTCAAGGTCACAAAATCAGTCTGTTCGTCCGTCACAAAAACTTTCACCTTGGTCATATCTCTTGAATGAGAAGAGATGGGGCTTTCATATTACACATGTATATTACCTTTCACAAGATCTTTCTAAATTTACTATGATTTTTGACCCCCCTGGCCTTGAAGTTTGGCCTACTTTTTTAAAAAAAAAAGTATTACTTTGAATTGGCCATAACTTTTGAATGAGAAGAGATAGGACTTTCATATTAAATATGTATTACCTGTGATAAGATCTTTCTAAATATTTTTTGACCTTGTGACCCTGACCTTGGAGTTTGACCTACATTTCAAACACTTATTCCTTGCACATGACTTTTGAATGAGAAGAGATGGGGCTTTCATATTAGACCTGTGTATTGCCTGGGACAAGAATTTTCGAAATACACCATGGTTTTTGACCACATGACCTGAAGTTTAACCTACTTTTTAAAAACTTATACAAGAAGGTATGGTCACCATGCTCATGTATGCACGTGAGTGCACGTGAAATGAGTAAAATCAAAAATACACTTGAATAAGCGTATTTTTTTAAATACTTTTGGATTAAATACTTTAATATTTAGTATATTAAAATATATAGATTGTGTAGACAAGATGATATGGTCATTACGCACATGCATTCACATGCGCACACATGCAATGCTAGAATTTGAATGAACTTGGTACACTTCTGGGTACACGTTGTTAAAGTCTCAAATGCATAGAGTTTGTCTTATTTAATGAAGATAACAGGGAATATGGCACGAAAAGGGAGTTGGGGAGCATTTGGGGAACATCTGTAACAGTCCCCGTTACAATTAGCACTAGTTAATCTTGTGACCTTGTTGAAGACCTTATTTTCAAAAAAAAGTTGATTTTTTCCTTATAACTTTTGATTGAGAAGAGATACGGATTCATATGTGACATGTCAGTGGTGGATTTAATGGGGGCCTTAAGGCGGCCTCCAGACTCCCTACCTACTTTTGGCTCCCCCTCTAACTTCAATTCCTGGATCAGCGCCTGTATGTGCATTTCCTGAAACAAGATATCTCCAAGCATGCTACAATTTCTGACCCCTTGACCTTCACAATTGACCTAATTTTTTAAAAATTCAACTTTGGTGATAACTTCTAAATGATATATGAAAGGGTGTTCATATTTGACACATGTCATAAAAAATGACATTTTACCCACAAAGACACTGAAAGTGGGGGACCACAATTCTTTGAGTTTGCTTGTTTATACTAATTTCTTGCTTTCTAAATGTCCTTAAATGACATTAAAACATTGTACAATCTTGTGTAATAACAAAAGCACATCCAAGATTCACTTTTGATATATTTTTTTTGTCAAAATCAAACCATATTGACCACCTCAAATATCCATAATTGTCGTTTAATCTTACAGTCTGGAATTTAATTTAAAAAAGATGCAGTTTTGAAACACTAAATCCCCTTTCAGGCAGCTAATGACCAAGGTTAAAGATTTTCCAAAGTAGATCAAATTGACAAATTCCAAGATCTTTAATTAAGTCATTGTCATCATAGACAACCTGCTGACTATACAGTGTACATGTGCATAGTACTCTGTGTCTAATGCCACTACATATACTTTGAGAGTTGAGCAATGCATGCAGGTGTTGGTAATACTATGCATGTCTGACAGAGGCAATGTAAGAGTTCAAATCAAGAATTTTCCTCTATTTCAACATATGGAAAATATACAAGTTATCCTATACATTTTTTACCTTTCTCTAGCCCTCCTCTACTTTATTGCAAATAAAAAGTTGAAAGGGACTTAAAGCAAGTCCCCATGAATGAATCTTTAGCATTCTGCAGTTGGGACATGTGCATCTTTCAAATGGAACATAAAAAATTTGTTTAGATAATACCATGAGAAAAATTAACTAAGGTTATGTTTTGAAAGCATAATATGAAAAATGAACTATAAAGTCAATGAAAAATAACCACAAAAACACATCTCCAGATTAAAATTAAATTTATTTAATAATAACACTTATTTTACATCCGATTGATCCGAACAGCTGTAACTTCACATTTCACCATTCTTTTCCAGACCATGGATCTGGGTGTAACGTACGTCCACCAAAGAGTTTGCTTTTATTCAAATGACTGTCCATTTTGTCAAATACGAATTTCCTCTCTAAATATTTACACACAATGAACAGGGGTGGTATGGCTAAATAGAAAGCTACCAGGGTTCTCTTTCGCTGTGCTGATGTCTGAAATGGAAATTAAAAATTCAATAAATACAATATCAATGATGAATCATCAATATATATAACTTACAAGACCTGAATTCCTGGATTTGTAGTGATTGAATTGTTTTTTTTAACTATCCTCTTGTATACTGTAGATTGGTAAATAATCATGATGGTTTTAATTTCATTATGTTCGCGATTCATCATTTTCCCACGAAATTAAACCCATCGTGAATGTTATCATTAGTTTTAGAAGATGTTTAAATGCTTATGCAAACTTTAAATTAAATTCCTGCAGCGTGAAATTTAAACCATCGTGATTAATACTTTTTGAGGAGTCGTGAAATTTTAACACTAAGGAATTGAAATGACTTACAGTATCGAAGAAAAATATTAAAGTAGAAATTATTTGCAAGGTGTGAGGATTCTTTAGAGACATCTGACAGTCTAGTTGGCAGAATGTGTTAGATGCAGTTTTATATTCAAATGACGTACTAATTAAATGGCTCAGTTCATTATGTGTACTCATTTATACAAAAATCTGTAGTGCAATATTCCACACTGCTTCTTTTCAGAATTTCAGCTGATTTATATACCAGCTAATATACAACTAACTTATACATGTCAGGTCAAAAACTCTAGTACACTTATTTATGACTGTACTACTAAGATGAATATGATTTTGAATTTTTGTAAATAATTTTAGTTCAGATGAATCGGTAATATATGCACATTTTACTGTCATTCATAGCACCTGAAAGATGTGCAACATTTTCAACTGAAGGAATCAATTCAAAATTTGTAGAAAAAAATTGGTCACACATATCATTTTAAATAATTTTATAGTGATATACCAAATGTGTAAAGTTGAAGTTAGGACCAGGCATCTTTGCTACTTGTTCCCCTTTTCCTGCAATCTCCTCCTATCTCTTTCTGCCACTTTAGCTTTAAAAATCCTTGTACGATTCAAATCGTGAAGGATAAAGCCAGCTGTTAATGTGGGAAACAAAATAGCTAACTTATTTTTCTTTGCAAACTGTAGAGCTCTGTTCAGTTTCATCTGAAAATAAAACAAAATTCATTTCTATTTGATTTCAGCACAAGGTCATAATGGTCACATAATAACAACTATCGCAGCATTAAAAATTACAAAAAATCTCATGAAAATATTGGTAACATAAAGGATACTGACTATCCTTCAGTTGTTTAAGATATCACGAGCACGTGTAAAGTGTTACATTTAAGATTAACGTTATAAAACTTGAAAATACCTAGTCCTTTGAGGACCGGAAGTTGAAGAGTCGCTTACATCAATCAATAACTAAAACAATTATTTATATTATGAAATATGAAAAGGTATTTTAGTTCAAATGGATTGAAACACCCATTATATAATAAGGTTTTCAAAAATATATCACCATCAACCTTTTTTAATGAAGCTTTTTGTTCTTTTTACATTTCTTTTATAAAAGGCCGCTTACACCATATCAGTTTGTTGACATCATGGAGGGCATATTTGAAAATTCAAGAGAGAGTTTATGAACTTTTCTTCCAGTTTTAACATTTGTAAGGAAGGTAATGCAAGTATCTTACTCTTACATTTAATAATTGTTTATTCTGTCGTATTTTTTTCTGTTAAAACTTCGTGATTTTGAAGAAGTTTTGAAATTGAATGGAATATTTGAAAATTCATGCATGTTTAGACTTGATTTACATCCATGCAGAGTCAAACCAGAAATTTTGTTCCTTTTATTCTTTTATTCCCAATTTCAGCAGTATCTTCGTTTATATTATTAAACATTAAAATAACACAAAAATAGATTCTTAACATTGCAGATTATAAGCTGTATTACTAATTATTTTTTTTGTAAATTCCTTGTCATCATGATCAGCATTATCATAATTGCATGTTTATGAATGAACTGCATATGTACGATTTTTGAATGCACAAATAGTAATCAATTGATCAATGTACCTGTAAGTAAACAAACATGGCCAGGTTTTGAGATCCATTGTCAATAACTAAAATTTTAAGAAACGTTATTCTCCAATTTATAGTTCTTATCATAAGTATTGCTTGAAAAAAAATGCATTAAAATGTCCCAATAAGTGATTAAATTTCATTTAAAAAATCCCCAATTTTAAAGGCTTGAGTCGATAAGAAGAAAATCACTGCATCTTGTATTAGTTACCATTGGATTTTATATGTACCGTTAATGATTGACATCCTCACAATGCCAGGGGTCTTGAGTCTGTTGGACCCCCTGGCAAATTGCATTTGATATTTTAGAGCTTGCCCTTCTGATTGTGAAACACTGATCAAATTAAAGCTTTCATAAATAGTAATAATGTAAACAGAATTCAGTTGACACCTCAAATGCATGAGCTATAAGTTATTTATCATAGAATGGCTTAATGTGATAGATCCCAGTCACTGAATGAGAGTGATCAGAGATAAGAAAAACCATTAAGATATATGGTATATTTTTTTGATTTTGAATCCTTGCAATTTATCTGAAAGAAAATATTACCCCAAAATATTATGGAAAGAGAAGCTTTGAACAAAGAACACTTGATTAGATTTTTAGACTGTACACTAATGTCACTATGCAAGTCACTAAGTGCCTGCCCTCATCTTATATTTAAATGTAGATATAATTCTTTTGCAGATTATAAGGGAAAAAAATGGATGATGAGTTTGAGTTCACAGATGATGAAATCCGAGATGAATTATGTAAGCTAGGATACAGGAGTATTCCACATGAAAGACTTCTAGAGTTTAAGAAAGGTACAATTTTGACACATTCTTCTTTCTTGAGTTATTAGAATTCACTCTCTATAGGCAGATAGCTAATAATGATGGTGACAACATGGATGATTTCCTTTTAATTTCAGATTTACGAGTACTCATACAACATGAGAGAAGCAGACTCTCAAGGGACACAACTCTGTCCTCTCAAGTTCAAACAGATGCTTCGGACTCTTTCTTAGGTATAATGAAATGAAACTTAAAAATAAATTTATTTATTTAGAGTCTCTTTCAAGGCAGAGAAGCTAGAACAAATTTTTGTTTTCAAAACATACAGGTGACTCTCGATCTCTCGAAGTTCAAGGGACCGCAAGAAAAGTTCGAGAGATCGAGGGATTCGAGAGATAGAAAGTAAAAAAAATCCGGAATTTTCAGTTCCGATCACCGAAGTTCTACTTTTATAGATACCGGAAGTATATGTAAATAAAGTCATTGCACGCTTTCAATCATATTTGACAGGTAGTTTACCTGATATAAACAACAATGATTGCATTTCAAATAAATAAAACTAATTTCTAAAGTTTTAGTATTTATTTATTGTTATTTCATGATTACGTGAAACCCGAATAGCAATTGTCGGTTTGGCTATTCCGCGGCTTGATCGGGACCTTCATCAATGTTCAACAGATTTTTCTTAATCGGTATTCAGTCCTTGAGAAAGGAATTTTCTTGTGCAATATTTGCCATGCTGGAATTATTTAGACTCTATTTAATCATGATAAAAGTTCATAGTCTATTGGAACTTACTGAAACGAACATCTATTAATTAAATTTCTAAAAATTATCGTCTCAGTTTCAATTCGAAATAAGTTGTTTATAATCTACCCTGTAATTAATAACCAACTAATTATATAAAAACACGGACAACCCACAGGTGTAGTGTCATCTATGTAAACACCCAATTAACACCTCCATGCCAGCCCATGGCTTTCATTGTTTCCAGGTAAGTCCAGACTGCATCAATTTTACGCTTGATTGGCGAGTATAAACGCGCGCAATCAAAACTTCGAGAGATAGAGAGTAAAATTCAATGAAATATGTGTAACGGGACCCAGATTTTGGTTCGAGAGATAGAGAACTTCGAGAGAGAGAAGTTCGAGAGATCACGAGTAAATTTGCTTAATTATATAGAGGAAAAAAACGGGACCGGAGGTTCACTTCGAGAGATAGAGAACTTCGAGAGATCGGAGTTCGAGCCATCGAGAGTCACCTGTATTTATATAATAGTGTTGCATTATGCAGCAATGCCTCAAATAAGCATTGTGCACATGGTGCACGAGCCGGAGGCGAGTGCTTGTTAAACCCTGCCAATTATTTGAATTATAACACTATTGTTATTATTATGCTGACTGTTGTTATTATTTATGCGGCAATCCATTTGATTTTTTCCAGAAAATAATGGTGGTAACACAGCGCACTTGCAAAAGCTCATTCAAAATCTTCATGCTAAAATTAGTTGCATGCTTAGTTATTTTGGTTACTAGTATTTTCTCTAAATAAATCAGGATTTTCTGTCCCAAAGATACTCATCTTTATTTTCTGTTTTGTTAGTACTTAGTAAGACTGATTCGTTTACAGACGTGGATTCACATTGATAATTTTCTTTTACATCAAAAGCGCTATATAAAAAAGCGTTTTATAACCAGATATCAATTCATCTAACGATCTGTATGTAATTAGTTTGAAACTTTGTTGTACACATTTATCTAAGATTCCTTAGAATAAATTTAACTGTTTTCAAATAATATTTGTCTATTTTCTCCTTCTTCTGTCAGTTGTATAAATTAACTTTATATATTTAATAAAATTCTCCTAATCAGTGATCGTCTCTGTGGCGTAATCGATAAGGCATCGGACTAGCAACCTCATGGTCGTGAGTGCGATTCCTGGTGTGTGCATTGAAGAATTTTATTCAGAACTTTCCCGTGCACTATTTCGGCATAATATTGTAAATCCTTAGACCACTATGCGATAATAGTAGGGTATGGGTTATATAGAGACAAACTGACAGGAAGCATAATAATTATTATTAGTAAGAGCAAGGTCCTCAAATAAGCATTGTGCCTTAAAGGTTTCTTGTTAAACTTTGAACAATTATTTGAATTATAAACTAGGTAATAATATTCCTTGACATCATAATTTTCATTTACCTCTGTAGGTCCCTCACACAGACAACCAGAAAACCCCCTGCCAGGTTACTTGGCTGCAGTAAGTGATGATGTAAAGTTTCTTGATATTATTTGTAAGAAATTTATTACAAAGCTCTACACAAAAAATAGAAAGAAGAGATTTATAACCAGTTTTACTATCAGGGATGAAAATAATTCTTTTTAGAAGATTGCTTTTGTAATTTCTGATATAGTTATAACTTAAAATAAAGACATGTATGTAGTTGTTATTTGTACACTATAGTGATAAAAAAATTGTTGAGTATATCAGATTTGGGACATTTATTGAATATTACCAACTTCTTTAAAAAAAATCTAACTGTAAATTAATCTTTTGTATTATAATCATGTGACATAAGTAAGTAAAAAGAGATTTTTTTCTAAAATCCAGGAACAAGGAAAACAGATTTAATGTTTTTTCACGATACATGTATATGATTATGGGGAATCCCTGACCCTGGGGCCATAAAATTCACAATTTTGGTAAGGCACCTTGCTTATCATAACTATGTACTTAGTTAGTTTATTTAAACCAAATCAGAGAAATGGATTTTCAAAGAAATAATGTATTTTCAGATATAATCGCCTTATACCAGAACAGTCGCCTACAATTTTGACACGACAAAGGAGTTTATTTAATACGACATTTTCACTATATACTTATTTAGCCCCGTAGCACAAGTACCCCTGACCCCAGGGCCATGAATTTCACAATTTTGGTATAGGACTCAATGCTGATTACAATCATGCATACAGTTTGACTGCTTGATGTCCAGGTGTAAAGAAGGATTTTTAAGATGCATTAATTTTAGTGGTTTTGGCCCCACCCCCCAGGCCCCAGGGGAGTCATGAAATTCACAATTTTTGTTCCCCTTCATTAGATGCTTTGTGCCAAATTTGGTTGAAATTGGTTGAGTGGTTGCAGAGAAGAAGAAAATGTTCATTTACGACCGTTTCAAGACGTACGACGAACGACGTACGACGATCATAGAATAGGTCACCTGAGTGACTCAGGTGACCTAAAAAAATCTAACTGTAAATTAATCTTTTGTATTATAATCATGTGACATAAGTAAGTAAAAAGAGATTTTTTTCTTTCCAGGAGAAGGAAAACAGGCCACGACGATATGATTATGGGGATCCCATCCTAAGGAAGCCCCTCCCCTCAGAACCAAATCAGGTACGGGGAGATTTCGCCTTATACGACAGTCGCCTCGACACGACAAAGGACGACATGTCAGGATAAAAGTAAAATAATTTCAGTTAACATATTATTAGTCAACTATTTTGATTTCAATTCAAAATTTTCAGTCACTTAATAAAAGTTAAAAATTTCATTTAATTTTGATTTCTTCAAATGTCCAAATAAAGCATTTAATAAATAATTTTTATGAAAAAAATTCTTACAGAAAAAGAACAGATGGATCAAAAGTAATAGATGAATCTTTCACAGAGAGTGAAACAGGTGAGTGTTAAGGTCTGTAGGCAATCATTAAAATCTTGCAGACTTTTATTAAGACAAAGTTATCCACATTGTTTAAGCATGAATTCAACATAAAATGTTTTATGACTGTAGGAAGTGTTCTTGACATCAACGAGAGGCTGAGACTGTTAGGAATAGATACAGACAGACCACAGACGGCTCCTGCTGGAGAGGTATACAGTGTACAATACTCACTCATGTTCATACTGTAGATGTTTAAATTTCATTAACACACTTATCATGAATTCACACTCACGGGAAAGTTATTCTCATTCCCTATGGTTTTAAAAGGTTAACCAAATGGTTGTATCTGATTGTTTATAATAGACCAAATTTGCACTTCACTATCAGCGTATTTTATTTTACATAATATGTTACACACACATGCTCTGTTAAGGACAGATGATACAAACAAAAAATGAATGCCCAGATTGGTATATATCTTTTAACCTAATTTCATTGCAAATGATGCAAATAATAAATTTCTAGAATAGAAAGAAATTGTAAACCTTCTGTGATGTTCAAAATTTTACCCTTCTGAAACCAGCCTTATTATTCTATACAAATATTTTTCACTTGAAATTCCATTTTTGTGCAACTTTGAATAAAAAATTAGCAACTACGCGGTGAATCCTATTCATTTTATTCATTAAAACATGTTATTTTCCAAAATTTTTGACAAAAGTTTGTATCATCTGTCCTTAATGGGGAAAAGCAGTACATGTCATTTTACATCTAAGTGAATTGCTAAGGCCTAACAAGTTATTTTTTCTTTCATATGTACAGCCTCCCTATCGCCTGTCTCCAGATGACCCAAGACCTGCATCAGGTAAGCCTTATGTCAAACAACATGGAATATTTTATGTTAAACTCTGAAGGTTTAAAAAGTGCAATTAATTGCAATTAATAAAAATTTGCAGTTCAGTACATTTATTAGTTTTCCCTTCATTAATTGGAGAGGAGGTAGATTTGTAAGTTAGACAACTGGTTCTTACTAATTTGAAAATGACTAGTTTTAATGTTTTAATATAAGGAATTCCTGTAAAGATCTGATTCATGGTTCTATGAAATGGCATTACAGTTATTTTGAGACCTTCGGAACATCCCCACACAAGAAACATACGCAAGTCTGACCCTGTGGCACGGTACCAACAGTTCCGGCAGTCATGGAGTCAACAGCGAGCACCGGGAGAGAAGAAACATAACCAGCTGAGGTGGAACATCAGGGAACAAATGCTGGCACAGGATCAGGTCATAGAAAAGGTGAGAGGTCGTAATAGAAAATTTGGTAAAACATGTACATATAATGAAAATATAGAGTATTTTCACACAGAGCATGACACATTGTATGTAAGATTGCAGAATCTAGTTGTTGATAGGTACTTGTTGGTCTTTTTGATTTAAATAAAGTTTCTTACATTTTAGATTATTATTAATTACTTCAATTTTAAATTGCATACATTTTAGAGTTATTGAATAAAACTTAACCTCTCTCTTAAAATTATTAACAATTCTTAATTTGTTTTCTTTTCAGAAACCACAAAAGGTATTCATTCCAAACAAGTATGTGGTACCAACAGATAAGCAGAGGAAATCGCTCAGGTGGCAGATACGTATGGACTTGGCACAGGGTCAGATGCCAGCTCATGGCTTCTATCATGAATACTGAAAATGATCTCAAGTGTTACTACATGGAACTGTGACTGTCTCCCGTCCTTTTGTCTGAATAGCGTAGCAAAAACATTCCTGGCCTTTTATACCATTCATGTCAAGTGGCCATGAGACATTTTGTTTGCAAATTTTATAGATCTTTTTATTACAGAACCCATTTTCTTAAAACCTAGTATGTTGTAAAATAGATGATGTATATTTATAAAGTGAGGGCTTTTAAAAGTTGAATTTGCATGGTACTTTTTAATTTAGTATCATGTACATTCTTGTATATATTTTATATTATTTCATAAATGTTGTAAATAAACTCCTTTGACAACACCTGATTGCTCAAGCATTTTCAGTTTTGGTTTCTTTCTATTAAAAAAAATACAAATGAAATAAAAACGTGGATATACTCCACTGTTTGACTCTTTTCAAATACCAAAAAGCTTTTAAAAACATTTGAAATAAAACATATAGACAGTATTTGTGACAGTATTTGTACTGAATTTGTGTAGCAACTGTATTCTTAAAATTTGGTAATTGAATATTAAAAACCTGAAAATAATATCCTTGTATTTACATTAGGCAGTAAAGAACCTTAACATTGAATGTATATTTAAACAATTATGAAGCTTGATTATACAAAATGTTCAATGAATGCAAATATCATGAACAATTAACTTCAAACAAACAGCAGTTGCAGACAAAGGTTTTCATACAAAGTAGTGATTTTCCATTTAACTTCCCAAGGGATTAATTCCTCCTTCATTTTCTTCTAATTACAATAAGAACTTTTTCAGATTTGATAGATTTTTTATACAACTATCCTAAAAATTAATAATATTTTTGAACAACATAAAGTGAAAAGGTAAATCAAAAAATCTTAATCTATTTCAAAACATGAAATCATAACTATGCAAAAATAAATTATAAAAATTTAAATACACATTTCAGAGTGTTCATTTACAAATTGATTTAACTAAAAAAACTTCATTTGCAGATTAATTCATCTCAATTTGACAGATAAAGATAATGCTCTGGATTTTCTTCAGAGACAAAAGGGACTCATAACAGCATTCAGTTTACAATGGGAACATCTTCCTCAGTTATCTCTTTGCTGCTTTCCTATATAAAGTTACACTGCATTTAATGGTTAAATGCAAACTTAGCATCAAAATATGATTTCTGAGAACTACCATACCAAATTGTACTTGATTGACAATGAAAAAAAGGATAAAATTAAGGAATCTACCCCACCACCCCAGCTCCAAACCAGAAGACATAGAGAACCAAACTTAGCATTGTTTTATTGTTGATACCTCTAAATTTGTTATTAACCATAAAAAAAATTATTAATAAAACAGAAAATTTGTGGACCTATTTCCCGGACAGACAGACAGACGGACGGAGTGATTACTATAGGGCACCCGCAAATCCTTGCGGGGCCCTAATAAAACATATAGACAGTATTTGTGACAGTATTTGTACTGAATTTGTGTAGAGTTAAGTTTGGTAATTGACTTTAAATCTTTGGAAATTGATCTGCTCAAACCTTTCATATGGAAGTCAGTTGATTATGTATTGACCATAACAATATCGTAACGTAAGCATACAATAGTGATATCCATTTAACTTGAAGAGTTATTCCCCTTTACGCAATCATAATAGATTTCATAGATTTACTTAAATAAAATTGAACTGGATAAGAATATTTTACTCATCAAAACATGAAACATAACAATGCAGTTGGATGTAATTGAAATACCATTGCTCATTTACTTGTTAATAAAAACTATTTTAGATTACCTCTTGTAAAATACCAAGTAGAGACAAAGGCATCATTCGAACCCACAGGTTTTGATTCCTAATCATTTTTTATGAAAATACCAATTGTTGAAGCATTTACATACAAAAATGTTCACAGGGTACTATTAATTATTTCGACACTTAGATGGGTAAAATGAAATACATGTATACTGGTGTCTCATTATATCGCGGTACTTAAAACCTTTTGCATAAAAAGTGTAATTCCAATTTTTTACTTTAACTTTCATCAAATAATGTTCATAAACCAAACCATGGCCTAACTTTTTAGTGTCAAATTATTTCCCAAGCTTTCATCATTTAATTTGTAGTCTATTTTTAAAACAGGAAGTCTTAAAATTTATAGTATCGCGGTATGGGAAAACATGAAAAATTATAGTTGGCATGGACTTCAATTCTTATTTTCAAATTTACGATGTAATTCTACATAAAAAAAATAAACAATTATACAAACTAAAGACTTTCAAAACATGAACTTTATTATGAATTTTACTAGTTTATAAAATCAATGGTCTAAATATAATAAAAACGGGATTGGAAATCTGTAAAATTACGTTTTATTTGAATAAAAAAAAATCAGACGCATGTTCCACTATTTTTAATCATCACAAAAATTAACAATTAGACGACAGACAGATAGCCCATCAACAAAAAGGATATAAGCTATTTATCCGAATTTTAGGAATATACCGCGATACAATGGAACCCGCGATATTATGAGAATCGAGTATATATGGGGTCCTTTACAAAAATGCATATTGGACACTGCTTATTTCTCACCCAAGGTGTATTTTTCAAGGATCCCATATATTTGGGGCAGGATACATTGACACTATTGATATGTCACCTCCTACAGTTCTCGGAATATTAACAGAAAAGAAAATTTGTTTTTTTCTCACATTTAGAGTTTCCCCTTGTTACTGTGTTTCAACTCCAAACTTTGCAAAAACTAACATTGCAACTGAACCACTAGTGAACGGTCTTTATAATTATCTTTGATAAAATAAAACAATCAAACAGTCACTAATAAACACATTTTATTGGCAATCTTCAAATCAGTATTGGTCATATCTTTTGTCCATGGTAAACTTGGTATCTCTTCTGTTTCTATGTGAATGAAAAAGTAATTTCTGCTTGATCTTTTCGACAGCAGCAAGTGTCAGTATTAAGGTTTCATGTTTCAACATATCACGCACATTTAATCCTGAAATAGAGGAATGACAGAGCTTATCAACTGAAAAAATGTTGTACTGCATTAAAGACATTGAAAGTTGTAATAATAAGTACAAGGATTTATCATTAATTTTCAACTACACTTTATAATGTTACACTCTTTTTGTATTTTTGTTTGCTAGAAATTTCACTCATTTAATGAAAAAAAAATTTCATCTACAACCTTGATCATTTCACACTCCTTTTGTATTTCAGTTTGCTAGATTTTCACACATTATTTACAGCAAAAAATGATTTTTTTATGCCAAAAGTACAATGTATTGCCAAGAATTGAACTCCAAATATTAGATTGATAAATAAGGAAAGTTTAGAATATTTTATCAGCTTTAAAATGTGTGATTTTCAATGAAAATTAAATACAATAAAAACTTTTTAAAATGTTTAGCAAAATACTAGTTTAAAATTAACATTTTAGGTTTAGCTTCTCTCAAAAATTTATTAGGCTGGTTCAGCGATTGCTTAGCAAGGATACCACAAGGATTTTTTACTTATCAGTCCTTCAGCTCAGGTGAGCTAAAAACTTTTTAAAATGTTGAACAAAATACTTGTTCACATTATTTTCTTAATTTCTCAAAATGTGTGAGCAAATGTTTTATCATTTAAAAAAAAAAAACCTTAGGCCACCTTAAATTGTTCGGTTGTCCTCTCCTGACTGACTGCTAGCTAAAAAGGGCCCGACTCAAATTTTTTTTAAACCTCCAGAAAGCAGTTACCAGTATTTTTTATGCATTCTGTAAAAAAGATTTTGAAAATTCAGCAATGAAACTGAAATTTTCTGAGAAAACAAATTCTCACCTACCTACTAACCCAATTTTTTGATCCCCGAGTCGGGAGAGGGCACACAAACCTTTTTTAAAAGTTGGCCTCATTACAAGACCTTTATCTGTTAAACTTTTTCATTGACAACAAAAATTATCATAGTATGAATAATTCCTTATCAATGAAAATAAATGATTTAAATATTACTTGCTGTCCTACTAACAACTGTTAAGTCAACACTTTTTTAGATATTGTAAATAATCATGAGATTTGAATATGTGATAAATTTTACCATAAACAGGACACAAATTGTATTGTGGAAATTCTGCTAATGCTAACGATGTGTTCTCTGGCATGTAGTCAGTGCTGAAATAAAAGGAGAAAATTGTCAAGACAAACACAAATAAAAAACACAACCAAAATTATTTTTAAAAAATATAAATACTTACTCATCAACAAAGAGGGCCGAGAATCCCCAAAATCTTGTGTCAATTAAATCTTGAATGTACTGTAAAAATAGAAAAAAAAGTTTTTTATATCTATGTTATAAAGTTAAATATTATGCTGAGGCAATCAAAAAACCAGTTATCTATAGGAATTTTTTGTAATACATTTGTACTTCTACTTCAATGTCAGAAAAGTGACATCATAAAATGCACAGCCTTAGATCAAATTTTGTCCAAGAATATGTTACCTGAATACTGTCTAAAATGCATTACCTGTGGATCATCTTCAGGAATTTCCAGCGAGTCTACAATATGCAAATTATTCTGTGCATATTTAAATGAGAGTGCAGTGCAAAGTCCCTGAACTCTGTATCGCTTCGGTAACATGTAAAACAAAGCCTTGGGGCCTCTTGGTCCAAGGGGTTTGGCACCTGTTAAAAAAAAAAGTTTTAAAAAAGATTACATTGTTGTGTTTAATATACTCAAAGTAGTTTAATATTCCTAGCAAAATGTTTTCAGATAAATTCACATGGATTTTTCTGCAAAAGTGGTTTGAAATTGCTTAAGAATACAGTTTACATTACTTCATCGCCTCTTATTGGACCTAAAATCATTCTAATAATAAATGAACTTGTGCTTAAACAGGATATTTTGCTTCAACAATAAAATTCTTTATATGGTTGTTAGCATGGAAATTAATGTTGCAGCTGAAGTGGGTTGGGTAAATTCTTACCACAACAGCTGCAACATTAATTCTCAAACAATCAAACATTCATGTCTGCCTAAATAATGTAGGATTAAGTTTGCTTAATAAGGTATAACATGTATTGATATGTTTCGTTGATGGAACACTACATATTGTAGTGCTCAAGAAATCTTTACAGAAATTAAATTAAAAAAAACTTCAATATTTATATTCAACACACAAACCAGACCTGTTCTAAACATTATGCTGTCCCTATTGCGGTTTCTAGCCCTTCCTGTTCCTTTTTGAGGCATCTGTTTGCGGGTTGTCACATCTAAATCACCTCGACCTGGCGTCCAATTATAATCCTAGAATAATTTTTGTATTTCT